CACTGCCCAAAGTGAATGCGAACCCGCCACGCCACGTGTGGTTTATTAGGCAGGAACAAATCAGACGGGTGGGTAAGGTCCGTACCTGCCTTGCCTTGCCTGCCTCTTTGGTGAATATGGGAAATACCACCAAGAACCTTACTGCCTCACACGTCGCCTTTACAACCCATCGCCTGCCTCACCAATATCCCATCTCACCGACGCTCGTCATCAGCATGCAAGTTCCTGGTTGTTAATGCTGCATGCCACGACCTACCACATTGCATAGCATAGACTGCATCGCATGGGACCGACGGGCTTCATCCGCGATAATGTTCTATTAGAAGAGAGGACAACGACACAGCGCAAAGATGGTATGCTATGCGTCTCTCATGATGCAAGATTCTTAACCCAACGCACAGCAGCCCGGAAATCGTTTCCAATGGGTTCCCGATTTCTCCTCGCCTCTTCTAACCCGCCCTTCCGGTAACCGCCCGGAAAACACAACCATAAAAGAAAGAGGACAATCAGCACCGACAACGCGATGGGCTGAAGCACCCAAACTCCTCGGCTGTTCGCAATGGCTCCGATACCAAACGGAATGATGGCACCGCCAGCCCCGCCGAATGCTGCAGCAAACCCGATGACGCTGACGTGGTTATCCCTCGGCAGTAGCTTCGCGGCCGCGACGATGGCTGCTGGGAACAGCGGGCCGAGGAAAAAACCGAGCAGCATCACGAAAATGACCGATGCGACAAAGTTCGGAACGAGCCAATACAGCAGCTGCAGGACGATAGACAGGAGGACGTACACGGCGATGGCCCGCTTCTCTCCCACGCGACCTGTGACGAAGCCCAGTACCAGTCGACCGAGCGTCAAACCGAGCCAGAACAGCACCGTGGTGATGCCGGCGAGGAACGGCTCGGCGTGCCGCACGCGCAGCATAAAGGTCACGATCCAGCCGCCCAATGCGACTTCTATGCCCACGTATGCGAGCAGGTAGAACGCGAGAAGCCATGTGATCGGTTTACGGATCACTGCTACCGTCGACGTGTGGTTGGCGCCGTCCGTCGACGAAGGGTGTTTCTCACGGTGCACCTTGCCCGTGGCTTTCCAGAATGCAGTCGAGGTGAGGATGAAGGTGAGGGCCGTCATGGCTGTCATGACGTAGTAGAAGTTGAACCACTCCAGGTCGGCCCTTGCAACCATGGCAGAGGCGATGAGGGGACCAACGGTCGCACCGAGCCCGTACGCGCCGTGGAGGAACCCGAGTAGCTCGTTCGAGTTCTGCATGTTGCCGATCCAGGCGTTCCAGCCGCTGTCCTCGAGGCCATTGCCATATCCTGTCACCAACAAGGCGAACGGCAGGACTGGGTACGGTGGGTGTAGGGCCAGGGGGAGGAAGCCGATGGTTCGGGCTATTGGCCCGATGATCGCAATGCCTCTCTGGCCCAGTTGATGATGGATGAAGTTGTTCGTGAGAGCGGCAATGATGTAGCCGACAAATGGTGCTAGGAAAAGGAGAGAAACGACCGTGTATGAAACGTCGTAGTAGCTCTCAATCTGTCACCGGATCAGCAAAGCTCAACGGCATCTTGACGAGATGTTCAGCCCACATATGGCAGCAAGGCCTGTGATATCATCAGCGATGGTCTCGGATGAGCGTTTAGGACGGAATCTTACACCGACGGCTCCATCATTCATGCCCATCACGATGAAGCTGTACAATGTGGCGACATATCGGAAGGCGTTCGTCCGAGTCCCGTTCCATTTCTCAAGTTCCGGCTCGTGTTCATGGCTCCAGCTGGGTTGACGCTTCTCGTCCGTCTCCATGAGACTGAGCGACGAGGGGGTTCGCGATAGGTTGGGAGGGTTGATCGGGTCTAATAACCCGACGTCGGAGGAAGATATCGACTTGAGTGGCGGAGCGCACATTTCTTGTTGAGGAGGTGTTCCTGATGAGATCAGAAGAACCCATATATCCTAATATCCCATGCATTATCAACAGCAGCCGGATGCGGGGTCGCCTTTGCCGGATTGGCCTGCCGGGAGCGCAGCCGCGGCGCCCGTTCTCCCACACCAACATCAAGGTTTGCTGAGGCCGAGCACGTTAGCCTTTGAACGGTGCGACAGCCCGCGTTTTCAAGTATTCTCCGCTCGTGTATTAAATTCCGAGGATGACCCAAACGACCCACGGCCGGACGTGCGGACGCCCCGGATCCGGCTCGGAGCCGACGCATGACCCCGCCGTCTGACCACCAAAAGCCTCCGAACGGCCCCCAACAGCCAGGAGGGAAAGCCTCCGAACGCGTCTTACGAGGGGTTCGCGTCTTGCAACAGACGACAGTGCATAACGTTCATCACTGACCCAGAAAAGCAAAGCACCTTCTCTGTTCTTGGAAGAACAAAAGGAAGAAAAAATATGACCATCGCCCGCCATCCGAACCAAAAACGGTCCGCGTGCGAGAGGTGTCGCCGACAAAAGCTTCGATGCTCCCGCCAAGACACGGAAGAAGAAGCCCGCTGTTCGCGGTGCGCGCGACTGGGGTTCCCTTGTGTCGCCGGCCAGCAACGGCGGATCGGCCGGCCCTCGCGCGCCAAAAACCAGGGAAACAATGTTTCGAATGACCGAGACCGAGGCTGCGATCGTAAGGCAGCGCAGGAGGCGGACGAAGGAGTTGGGGATGGGGATGGGGATGAGGATGAGGCTGCGGGTCTCCGCGGGGACAACCTGTTGTTGGCTGAAAATGCGACCGCGGAGACCACGCCGCCAGTGGCTGCGAGATTCGGAGAGGAGGTGGCCGAAGTTGGTGTCGACGTTCAAATTGACCCCCTTCTTTGCGACTTTGAATGGGATGAAACGGACTTCGCCGTTGACGTCGGCGACCACTTAACGAGCTCTCAAGAGACAGCTGCACGTCCGCTGTCACAGCTGGATGCGACAATCCAGCACGAAGCATTCGTTAGGCTGTCCAAGGTCAACGTCGACCTCCACTTGCACCTGTCCAAGGTCCATGACCACCGGCAGCATATGGATCTGTGCTCCTTCATCTACCCCGATTCCGTGCTCAGCGTTGATTCTGTCACACTGGCTGAGCTCGCTCTCGTCATTTTCCAAGACTTCGTGACTGTTCTTTCGACTCTGGCCAAGTCAATGAAACAGGCGGCAGTTGACTTGACCATCCTGCCAAGCCAAGACGCTGTTCCATCTCTGCCGTGGGATAACTCTGGCGGGCTGCCGACTGCTCTAGGCTGGATCGTTCCGTCGGAAAGTTTCCCATCGCCGGACATCATGAGTCCGTCAACCGCAACCTCCGCGCCCGAAGCCGTAGGTCCGCCTTTGGCTCTCGTCATCACAAGCTGCTTCGTCCAAATCATCACCCTCTTTGAGTCGATCACCCTCCACATCCACAAAAGACTCGAATCACTCGCCGTGGATCCCCTGACGCCAGTTGAGGGTCTCAAATTCGGCGCCTTCTGGATTGGTGATGGACATCTGCAAGGCATCATCTTCACCCAAATCATCACCAGTCTCTTGGAGAGAGCTGATCGTCTTCTCGGCCTGCGAGACCATGATACTTCGAGGTGGGGCACATCGCCGCATCAAGCAATCTTGTCTAATAACCAGCGCGATATACTGCATGGCCAACTCAAGGAAGTGGCGGATGTCTCGCTGTTGCGGACAGAAAAGCTTAGAGACAGCCTCGAATTCATGAGAAGACGTCTCACGGAAGCATCAGCCCTGAGCACTTAGACTTTGCGCCTCATTAAATGTTGAAAATCAGTGGATCAAATCTGGCGATCAATGCGCGTCGGACCCTAGTGGAAATCACTTGAGGTCTCAACCCATGAAGCCCCACGCGTGGTGCCGAAGATCATGAGGTTCCGGTGGGATATCCGACGTGTCCGGAAAGTCGGCTTCGTGGCCCTTGAAAAGGCGGGGAATGTTGACGACAGATTCGCGTCCTTGGCCCCTCTTAGGAGCAGGGAGTTCAGGGACATCATCATACCTAGGACGCTCTTTTTTAACATAGGGAAAGTGCGCGGAGAGCGTTGACGGACCCGAATTCGAGTGATCAGGTTGCTGTCGAAGCATCTGGAGCCCAAGTCCTCAACCGCCCCCAACCACCGGTTGATGAAACAAACAAACCGCAAACACAAAACGACAGGGCCATCAAGTCCATGTCTGGAATCCCGATGCTATCGTATACTCGGCTTCATAAAGAAATTCCATCATCATCCGTTCAGCGAACTCATTGGCATCGGCCGATTTACCCGCTCAATATAACTCGGCATCCCACGGAGAATACCAAGTGGGCGCACGCGGCACCCATCGTCCCGCTGCAGTTTGTTCCGTTTTAGACTGCTCTTTTGACCTCAAATCTGCTCAGACTGGCCCCACTCCATAACATCGTCCGCCAAGTATATCAACCGACATGGGCGCCCTTCCTCAACGCAACGTCCAAAAAACTCTGTTCGCTGCTCAGACTTATTTCATGAAACATTTTCCAACTTCAATGACTTGGGAGAGAGCTGAAAAATGCTTAAAGTCGACCGCAACCACCCACCACATCCATGCCGCCGGCATTCTGACGCCCGCCCTCACGTCAAGTTCGTCTCACAGTTTCGAGTCAGCCACCGGATTAACACCATGGAACGAACTCAACGCGATGTCGAGTCAAACCAAGGCATGGAGTGGATGGACAAAAGACATCCCACTCTGAGAGTAGCCAACGGAGGCAGATTGCGATTACAGCATTTGACACTCACGATCACAGAGGCAAGTAGAGAAGATATTGACTGAACAGTTGATACATTGCAAAGCTTGTTAGCACCCAGCAACAAAGAAAAGTGTGCTGGGCGCCTAGGAGGTCGGCTAAAAAAGGTGTGGGTGCTTGCAGCGATATATACACCGGGTATAATCTATTTACATGGTCGAGAAACGAACAAAGGCTCATTCAAAAGTTTGGATGTGTGTTTTCCTTCTTCTCCATCAGATCGCGAATGCGGCGATTCTCCGCTTAGTGGCGGGCGTGGAAGAGGTCACGGGCGTGACGGCGGAGCTTCTTGGCGCAGCCGGCATCAGCAGCAGCAGCAGCAGAAGCGGAAGCGGAAGCAGCAGCGGTAGGAACAGCAGAGGCGGTGCCGTTGGAGGGGGTGGTGGGGGTGGCAGAGCCGCCGCCAGAGCTAGAGCCGGAGCCGAACAGAGCAGGGCCGGGGATCTCGTAGCTGGTGAGGGTGGAGTAGGGGTTGAAGAGGATACCGGCGTCGGTGCTCTTGTACAGAGCAGTGCCGAGGGTGCCCTCGGGGTTGGAGGTACCAGAGCCAGTGATCTCAACGTTGACGCACTGGGGGTAGTTCTGGGCACCGTTCTCAGAGCCAGCACCGTGCATGGCAATGATCTCGTGGCGGAGAACGTAGTTGCCAGCGGCGAGGTCGGAGGGGATGGTGGAGGTCCAGGTGTTGTTGTTCTTGATGAGCTTGGTGGCAGCCCACTCCTGGGTGTCCAGGTCGATACCGGCCTCATCGATCTTGACCCACTTGAGGGTGGCGGGGTCGGCAGAGGTGCAGGCGCCGTCGCACTTGGCGGCGTAGGTCAGGACGGGACCGATGTGAGACTCGGGCCAGGCAGACCACTGGAAGTCGACAGTGCCGCCGGCAGCGACCTTGGCGGAGGAGGCACCGGGAGCGGCGTTCTTGTGGCAGTTGATGTCGACGGTGCCGTAGGCGTCGGGGGCGATGAAGCCGTTGTCGAGGTTCTCAGCGGACCAGGCGGCGATGGAAGGGGGGGTTCCGCCGTTCTGCTTGAGGTAGTAGTAGTCGAGCTTGTAGCCCTGGACGTAGGCGCCGTCCATCTCGTAGCCGGTGACGGTACCGTGGGCAAGAGCGGAAGCGGCGAAAGCGCCAGCAAGGGCGACGGTGTTCTTGATGGAAGGCATTTTGGATGAAAGAAGGATGGGTCCTGAAAAAGGAGGTTGAAGTGGAATGAATGAGCTTGTTCGTGGATGTAAAGTGTTGCAAAAGAATGTCCCAGCTTCACACAGTGAAGAACTGACGGTTAGACGATTGGAAAAGAATGAAGGTGGTAAGAACCAAAGAGTGTGTGCGACCTTGCAATGTTGGATGCTGAACAAGAGGAAAGAAGATGTAAAAACGAGGGCGTCGTCGCTGTATTTATCCCACCGGCCATACTGAAGGGCACCCCTTTCCACAACATCTCTCTCTTCCTCTTTGCCGCTGCCAAGATAGACTCGCAGACACCGACGACTGAGCCGCGCTCACCCTGGAGCCTCTGGAGGAGAGACGGGTGGAGATGGAAGAAACTTCATAAGACCGAAACACCAATATGCAAACCAGAGTGGTGGAATTTTGGGGGGTGGCACCCGGTCAAGGCCGGGGGACCATCGACGTCGTCGGATGTACTCCGATTTGGAAGGGTGACCGGTCTTGCAAAGATGAGATGGACTGTTCCACCCGGGCTGCGGCGTGGCGCCCAGCTCCAGCCGCTTCCAGCGTCGTGGTCGATTCCGGTTGCTCAGCCGTTATGGAAATCATGGAAAGGAGGATCATTGATCTGGCCCAGGGGCTTCAGCCGGGATCGCAGCCGGGGTCCTGCGGCACAGGGAAGGTGACGGTCATGATGGAGTCGTTGGCCTGGTTGGCAGGCGGTGTTGGCAAGCGTTGTTGGCTGATGATGGCGATGCCCCTGGCAAGCGAAGACGGCTTTGCCCAGAACTGGTGCCTGGCCAGCGGCAGGGGATCCCGTAAAGGCGTCTCGAGCCCGGCTGGGCATCAGCAAAGCGTCTGAAAGAGTCGCTGATAGAGCGTCGGTCGCGTGAAGCGTGGGACGCGTGGGGATTCATGACTTGCAGACTTGCCGTTTCCAGCAGAGCACAGCAACACACCGGAATCTCAGACGTAGCGCGGGCCATGAAACAGCCCCTCATGGCGCCCTTAATAAGGCAAGGTAGATCATAAGAAGATGTGCGTGTGCATCGTGCTCCACCCAAGAGCCGCCGGCCTGTGCGTGATTGATTGGAATTGAATTTTCGGAGCCAGGTCCCGATGGAATATGCATATCCCCCCATGATGTCGCTATCTCGTTAGCGCCTGGCTTTCCTTGGTCGTTGAGTTGTGGTTAATGTCGTGCCGTTATTTGAAGGTGGTGATGATGCCGGGACTCAATTATGCATGATCCCTCTTGTCCCTACAGCCAGCCAGTCAGTCAGCGAGCGCAAAGACAGACAGAAGCGCAAGAGAATCCGAACTCATGATTAAGGTGTGGTTCCTGGCGCCATTCACCCCTGGATTATTGCTCCACATTTGCCGCCCACGTTTTTATTGAATTTTCTTCTTCCCCTTTCCATGGCGCGCCCAGCAATATGTGATCTCGTTTCGGGCATTTCCTTGCGTCGATCTCATAGTCGAGATGAACACGACAGCCGCCAGACCGATTCTTCTTCATGCGCCGAGACTTTGGCAACTGCGAATTCATCTCGTCGTCGAGAACCCGTCGTCCGAGGGCACTTTCGATGAAACGGGCCTGCATGGCCGTCGAACAAACGGTCGCCAACAGTCAGCATTGAATCATTCACAATCAGCACCAACCAACGAACCGCCGCCGCTCGCGGTGGCCATCCTGCGGCCGTCGGGTCTCCCCCTCCTCCCGTGACACAGGAGGCCACACCTCCTGCAGCGCTGCAGACGGCGTCACGGCGCGGAATCCCTGGGACCACCTGCATTGACAGGGCTGTCGTCGCTTACACAGTCCAGCGCCGCGAATCCCAACCCCAGCATCGACCTTTCCGGGGTTAGCGTCTGTTTTGGATAGACTTCAGTCGTCGTCAAGCCTTCCTGGCAGTCATGTTTGCTGAGAACGGACAGCTCCTCGACAGTTCAATGTGCCGAGTTGACGACGATGGCGGTGAGTGTGGTCTGAGTTGCCTGGACCATGACTTCAGGGAACATCTTTGTTCGGCTCGAGGCCGGTGTATCACGGCAGATTGAGATTGCATCACGTCCCCCTTCTGGTCGACGGCCAAACCTGTCGACATTCGACAAACCGAGAACATTCTTGGCGACTGACTTTCCGTTGCTGCCATAGCGAGGATTCATTCGGCGAAACTTATGTTATCTTCTAAAGGAATCCCTGGATAGCCTCCCAGAATGCGGCAGGGCTCTCCCACATGGGAAGGTGGCCAGCATTCGGCACAATCTTCAACTCTGCGCCCTTCTCACCGATCGTGCCCTTAAATCCGTCCATCGCCTTCACGAGTGCGCCCTTGGCATCGCCATCACCGACGACCAACAGGCCGGGAACTTTGCAAGAACCGAGGGCTGGCTTGAGGTCGTAGTCCCACAGCGCCTGACAGCTGTACCTGAATCCGGCCACGTCGTTGGCGGCTACCATGTCAGTCATGGCCTTAACAACGCTCTCCTTTTCCATCGTCGCAGGATGGAACCAACGGCCCACCGTTTGCTGCGCCAGCTTGGCGATGCCAGCTCCACTATCCTCCTCCGCTACGGCAATGCGATCCTTCCACGCCTGGGTGTTGGCAGCGCTTGATGTGGCGTTGAAATCACAAGCGATGAACTTCTCCAGACGCTCGGGATACTTGAGGGAAAAGTTCGTCGTGGTCGCACCTCCCATTGATACACCAATCAAGGCGTGCAACTTGGGAATACGCAGAGCATCGAGAACGGTGCGAAGGTCGGATGCAAGCAAATCCAGTGTTGCCGGCACGGGCGGGCTGGGAATGGAGTGCCTTCCACGGCTATCATAACGCAGGATACGCAGGTCCGGACGCTTCTCCTTCAAGATCTCGACGACAGGATCCCACATGTGCAGCGAGGTCAACAAGGAGTTGCAGAACGCGACGGTAGGGGCATCGTCCGCGGGGTTGCCCTCGAGTCTGTAGGGAATAGCAAGGCTTTCCTCCGCGGTGATGTAAGAGCTGATAGATCCGTCCTTGCCGGGGACGGTGTTGGTCTTGCCATCAGGTGCCGCCCAGATGGCCACCGAGTCTGATTGCTTCTTGAGGTTATTCAGATCGCGGGGCGCGGGGCCGAAAACGTAAAAGAGTGAGTAGGTACGGCGGTTCATGCCCTTGACGTATTTGACAATCTCGCCGGCGCGTTTCGTAGCGGTGGAGGCCTTGTGCTCGGGGCCGCCGAGTCCATTCTCGCGGGCGTAGTCGTGGAGTACGAAGAAAGTGGACTTGGCACCGGCACCGTCGCCAAGGGTGGAGATCTTGAAGACTCTCGTCCTTAGCCACCCGGGGACCTTTGACAACATGTCGATGTGCTCCTCCTCGTACCACTTCTTGAACTCTTCCTCGGCAGCCTCGTCGTTGAGGTTTGTCTCGATAGCGACCAGCTCGAGACCCTCAGCCTCCTTATCGGAAAGCTCTTCAATGGGGCGGAAAGAGGGGGCCTTGCGCTCGATAACCAGGTCGAAGAAGTATCTGGTGACAGCGACCTGGCCAATGGTCTCGGCCTCGCGCGAAGATCTGTTTGCTCTGAGCGTGGTGTATGTAGGTGTCTCCAAGTGAGACATGTCGGTCACGTCGTAGCTCGCGAGGTAGGTTGGCTCCTTGCCGTCGTTGGCGCGGTACCGCAAGCCGTTGGTGAAGATTTGGGGAATACGCAGGCGAGTCGGGCCGTGCTCGTTGTTGTACCACTCGTGGAATTGCTCCTCAGCCAGGGTAGGCTTCGGCTGCATAGTAACGTAGAGCATTCCAGGGGTCGCCATTGTATCTCAATGCTTCGATTATGGTTCCCGGGACTCAATTGTGGTTTGGGAAAATAACGAAAAGGAGTGAGACTTGGGAGAATGCCGAGAAAAACAACCCGGAATCTTCAGCGGCGACTTCGGTGGTGCTGCTCGGCAGTGGGCGGGGCAGATGACGAACGCGGGGTCGATTTGGGGGAGGGTCGGTAGGTTCGGGATGATGGCACGGCACCTCGCGCAGCGCAACGAGCCAGTGGCAGCAGGGATAAAGGTTTGATTTCAGCGGTGGTGAGGGGTCAACGACGCTGAACTGTCACCGTCCGTTGTGCTGTCTGGCGACTTGGTTGGGGTATTCGTGTAGCAGAGGTAGCATTCGCGCGGAGGAGGGCCATTGCTGCTCGGCATCGTCGAGATAAATAATCGGAGGCAGGCGGAAAAGTGTTCTGCCAGGGCATCTTCGGTCTTGCGACCGCGATTGATGGTTTTTCCTGCTGAACATCTCAAGCGATGTCGGTCGCATGAAGATCTGTTGACTCGGTTCGTAATCCTGGGAATTGTGATCAGAGCATTGCGAAAACGAGAAAAAGGATTGATGTCCAATTTCAGTCACAATTCGATCAGTTGGAGAAGGCGAGATGGTATCCATTTCTGAGTTGGTGTCCATCGAAGAACACACTGCTGCGACTCATTCCGGGTAGACGTCTTCCTGCTCGGGTTGTTTTGTGCGAGAACGTCGAGTCAAGCCTCCTAGATCTTAGTGAAGATGGCGGTGTAAAGAGCTCTTTCCCGCCATAGACTACCTGACCGGAAGGTAGGACCATCGCGACAATGGACGCCGCTCTCTCCTGCCTCATCTTCAGCACCGGAACACCCTCCTGCTGAGTTGACGACCAATGACAGCTCCTCGCTTCGGCTGGAGGCCGTCCAATCATTGACCATAAAAGCCCCCGCTCTGTGGTGGAGATCTGCCTCTCAAGCCAATCAACGACAGAGTGCAGCAGCCTGCGCTAATCCAAATCGGGAGCTCAAAGCAACGGAGGGGCACACACTACTTGGAGGTTGGAGGGAGGGGCCACTCACCCAGCAGGGAGGACACTTTTTGCTCGCTAATCGCACGCGACCCGACACGGCGAACGGAAGCTACTCCAAGTACCTACCTTACCTTACCAAGGGACGGCACCATCAGGCTCCCATCCTGCCAACTGCCCGGTGGCCCCCGTTAGTCTCGAGTGGCATCTTCATTGGCCTGCAGAAGAGCATTGTTTGCTCCTCATCCCAGCTTGTTTGCTGCTCGGGTGGTCGTTTGCCAGCTCGCGTCCGTCACCACAGAAGCAAGCGCCGTCGTTTACGCCTGAAAAGCTTCCGCTCGTCCAGCCTGCTGGCCATTTAATTGAAATCTTATCTTACGTCCCTCTACGGGCCTTTCATGAGACTGGCTACGGGACATCACTCATACCGTATAGGTCATCATCTTGTTAAGGTACCTTATCTCTTGTTCGAGAGGAACCCTTACTCAGACCAAGACTGACATCCGTCTTAGATGCAATCGCCCGTCAACATGCCGAATTGAGCCACGAGCTGTCTGCTCTGCCAATGCTTACATCCAAGTTGACGGTCTCAACAACATCGGATTCACGGGATTCCCTCATCACCGCTATTCTATCTTATCCACTGCAGTCTGGTCGAAAGCCGCAACCCATCTATCATCATGGAGGTCTTCATGACCAACGTCCCTCAGCAGTTGACGGATCGCACCTTGGAGAAACAGCTCAAACCTTACATGAATGCCCTGGGCATCACTGCATGGACGTGTAATTCCAAACTCAACAAAAACGTCGGCTGGGTCACCTTTTTAAACCAGAAGGATGGCGTCTTCTTTCTCAAACGCTATGGCAAACAGATCATCGCTGATCCAGCCACAACAGACGGCCGCGGCTTCTCGTCCAAAGCCAGAAAGGGTCCCAAGGAGAGGGCCAGGCTCTATCTCATGAACACCCCCATATTCGTCCAAGCAGGAAACAAGGCGCCGGACCCCTTCATGCTCAAGAGCCTGCATCATCGTCTCCAGGAGAAAGTCAAAGATCGGGATCGACTCGATGCTCTCTCTGCTGAGGAAGCCATCGCATTTCCAGTCAGACATTTGGCTTGCGGTCACAATTCTTTTCGAAACGGATCCAAAACCCTGACCTTTGTTGAGCAGTATCGCCTTGATATTGGAGCTGTGGCATCATTCGGCAGAAGGATGATTATCATCAAGTTCACAAATGATTTCAAGGTTGAGATTCCGTATTCCTCTGTCTTTGAATTAATTCATTCCTCATCCCCATGCACTTTTACCTTCATATTATCCGAACCTCCCAAATTCTACCGCAACAAGGTCAAGCTGGAAGACCAATTTTCACAACTCACCCTTTCTAGACCGGCGCCTCAACACAAACAGTTCGTACGCTGCACCGATATACCAGATGCTCCACTGAATGCCGGTTACGCTGGGAAATGTCTAGTTTACCAACTCAGTGTTCTCGATACTGATTTTGACCACAAAATGATGTCGCTGAAGAACAGGCAACTTTTCAGCATCGTCCACTTTCAAATTTCTTACGATGGACGCCCGGCTCATTGGACGCTTGACTATCAAAGCTCATGGGATGTTTTCTACAAGCACTTGACACATTTAGGAACAGAGACGGCCTTACCCTTTCGCATCCTCTTTCTCATGCAGTCTCTGGTCTGGAACAATTACCTGCATCCCCGGGTAGCCTATGACTTGCTTCTCAAGATCGAGATTCTCTTCAGGCAGGCAAGGAAGGCGAAACGGCCAGACCCGCTATCTGACCAGGCGCTTCAAAGCCTTCGTGATGGGCCTCGAGAATGTTTACCGTTCCCCACTCACGACATACATCCGAACGTCTTGGATCCAGATGAGATTCTGAAGTTCCTCCTCGAGATGGAAAGAAGAATACAGGCGGAGGGTGACTACAGGAGTACCCTGTACGGTCCGGATGTGTCCAATCACCACGCATGGGTGTTCAAAGCCATGGTGACACCCACGAGAGTCACTCTTCACGGGCCCGAGATGGAACCACTCAACCGCATCCTTCGCAAACACCGAAACCACACAGACTACTTCATGAGAGTGCAATTCTGTGACGAGGACGGCACCGACCTCTGGTTCAATCCGAGGGTCAATTACGAAGATGTTTTCGAGCGCTACAAGAATGTACTGAACAAAGGAATTCAGGTTGCTGGACGAATCTACCAGTTCCTCGGCTTCTCACACTCTTCTCTCCGATCACACGCAGCTTGGTTCATGGCCCCTTTCGTCGACGACAGCGGAGAAATGCAGCTCTACAGACACATCATCAAGTCCCTCGGTGATTTCGAACACATTCAAATTCCGGCCAAGTGTGCCGCTAGGATTGGGCAGACCTTTTCTGAGACACCTGCCTTCATCTCTCTCACTGATAGCGACATCAGCGCCTGGAACATTCCCGACATTAAGTCTTCCATTGGGGGCGACGACCGCGTCTTCAGCGACGGGGTGGGCACCATTTCCAGGGAAGCCCTCGAACTGATCTGGCCCCGTCTGCCGAGGGGCTCTCTCATCCCTACCTGCCTTCAAATTCGGTGGGGAGGCGTAAAAGGAATGCTATCGCTTGATACGCGTCTTCCAGGCCGTGTCATGTGTATCAGGAGAGAGTCCATGGAGAAATTTCCAAGTCAGGATACCGAGAACCTCGAGATTTGCGGCGGAGCATCCAAGCCACTGAAGCTGGTCCTCAATCGCCAGATGATTAAGATCTTGGAAGACTTGGGAGTGCGCAACGACTTCTTCCTTCGGTTACAAAAGACAGAACTAGATCGACTTCGAGCTGTCACAGCGGACGCCTACAACACCGGAACCTTTTTGCATATGCAAGGCATCGGACTAAACTGCTTCCTACCATCCTTTATCAAGAGCCTCGATAAATATGGCATCGACTATCGACGAGATGACTTCCTGCGGACAGTAGTCCAGAATGTCGTGCTTCAAGAACTGCGGTTACTCAAACACAAAGCCAGAATCCCTGTCCCGAAAGGCGTGACTGTCTTCGGAGTCATGGATGAGACCGGCTTCTTGAGAGAAGGGGAGGTGTACATCGCTTACGATACATACCGACGACCTGGCAGGACTTCCATTGATGGATCGTTGAGAGACGGTCCTGTACTCGTCACAAGATCTCCAGCTTTGCATCCCGGCGACATCCAGCTGGTCAAGATGCGGACGCCGCCCGCAGGGCACCCGCTACGAAACTTGCGCAATTGCATAGCTTTCAGTCAGTTCGGCAGGCGAGACTTGCCCAGCCAATTGAGTGGTGGCGATCTGGATGGAGACCTTTACAACATTATCTGGGATCGGGACGCCATGCCAAAGGTCACTTACAAAGCTGCCGACTACCCGCGAGTGACTCCGGCGGCTCTCGGCAGGACGGTGGAGAGAGAAGACATGGCCAACTGGTTTGTCGATTTCATGCAGTCAGACTGTTTGGGCCTGATCGCGACGAGACATCTGGTCGTGTCTGATCAAGATCCAAATGGTACGCTGGGCAACGACTGCCTGACGCTCGCTGGGCTGCACTCGACAGCCGTCGACTTTTCCAAGACCGGTATTCCCGTCGATACGAAAGAGATCCCCAAGGCTCCCAGATTCCGCCCCGACTTGTAAGTAAGAGCTGCTTGCCGATTATGACCATTGCTGACAGAGGCCTAGTCTGGCGCCTGCTCCACCCGCACATATTTTTGACCGGAACGAGATCGAGTTCATCGGTAAAAATGAAACCCTGGAAGAGGACGACGAAGACATGCTGCCGCCGCATCAATACTACAAGTCAGAGAAAATCCTTGGCATTCTCTACCGCAACGTCGATGAGAAGCACATCTGGACCGAGGATATCCAGCGAGTTGTGACCAGAGCTGGTCCTTCGGTCTGGGATCAGTTTATCGGGCTAATTGAACGAAAGATATACGATTACACTGGTGGAAGGGTGACGTGGAGAACAAGGCAAGCCGAGGCCAAGAGGCTTCGTGATGTGTATGCACCCCGATCAAATTCTCCTCAAAGCTTGCTGACAGAACCCCCCAAGATACGAGGATACCGTTATACAAGCTATGAGCACGTACTCCGACAATCACGTGAAACGAATGACTGAGATTGAGGTCTTTTGCGGGTCTATCTTTAACAAGGCTGGTGCCCAAACGAGGCGCCAGAAAGACAACTCCAAAAAGCTCAAGGCCGAATTCGACCGTCTCTCGGAATGGCTCGTGGGTCAAATGCGACGCAAGCTCCGCACCGTGGACCAGGAAGCCTCCTCGATCTACAACAGCAGCACTAGCAACCAGTACTCCTTTCTGTCGGACGATCCCGTCACCCGCATGCTCGCGCCAAACAGGGAGGCTTTAGAGATGTCATATTCCTGCCTGATGGTGGGCCTGATGCCCAACGAGGGCTTCGAGCTCGAGGACGGGACGCAACTGCAGAGCTTCAAGGTGATTGCGGCAAGTGTTCTGCTGAAGGAGCTTACGGAGCTTGTTAACCGCATAAGAGGAGGAAGAATGGTTGCCCCAGGCAATGGCTACGAGGGTGCGGGCGGCGGATTTGTTGGAGTCAGCTCTGGGCCGACAATGTCGTACGCTTACAACGGGTTCGATGTGGATGTTGGACAATATCCCAATTATGGATATAGCGAGTATCTTTGAATAAGGAAAAGTGCTTATCTTGCTGGCACTCCTCGGGAGAAAATTCAACTTTTGTCATAATTCAATGAGGAGGTATTTGTGCCAAGGTCAGTGACCTTTCGGTCTGTTCAACGACGAATCGCGGTGGTGCGATGTCTTGCCACCAATTGTAGCGGGAATGAATGTATGTCTTCCTTGGCCAGTTCACTGCCCACTTCTGGGTATGGCATCCTCCATGGTGTTGTAAGACAGATTTAAAAGGAGGCGTTGATTGGCTGAAGCTGCCAACGTAGACAATATGGCACGCAGTGGGTGAGATTTCAATTGAAGCCTCATGACGTCTCAAGTTCGTGTGACCGTCGGTGTGCCTCGCTCTGGGTGGACTTGCTAGGCTTTCGAGGTAATTAAGACACCATGGACATGACCACTCTCCATTGACTAGAAACTGATAAAGATACCAGACGCCGCAAGTGATGAATGTGGGCGACAACAGTCTTTCTCCCCTTCCCCCAGACTCAAAAGGAGACCCGAAAGGCTATTTTCCACTCAACTGCTCTACACAACGCACGCCCACAGCTATAACATCGCTGAACATGGTATATTCTCTAGCCTGGAGTATCTCCTTAGTCTCTCATAACGACCATCTCTTCCATAAGCTTGTCAAGTTAATCTTCTCTCTTGCCATCGCAGCCATGGGTCAATATTAGAGCGGCCTTCATTCGTGGCAGTCGTCTGGCAAAAGACGCTTCATCCTACCATGAAGACTTGGAGTGACAAGGCTACGAAGGGGACATGTCTCCCTCGGAAAAAAGTGGAAATGACTTCGAACTAGTCGATAGACAAGACTACATCCCCTTGGACGAATGGGTTTGCGACAGATCCACTGGGGGCGGGGACCGCCGCATCCTCCAACAGCTCGTCGACGCTTTCAAGCACCATTTTGGAACTCATACACTTGTTCTGCACAATTCCACCTGCTACGCTTCGCCCTGCCGCGGTAGTTTCTTCACTATGTGTAATGAGGGTGGCTCCAGGGTATGTTTGGATTATCATGTTCTGTTCAAACCCTTTTATGCCGGCTCTGGAGATTGACGAATATTATGATTCTAGATACCAGTGAACAGCGACTCTCTCAATCTTGCGGCCAACGCAAACCCCGGAAATGGAAGCATGTGCATGTATCTGCCGATACATAAGAGATCTCGCTACTGCTTTGGGCGCGGGGCCCCAAGGGGCAATAAAGGGAGCCCAGTAGTCATAAGGCATTGCTAAGCGATCATAATTATTGGCCCATTAGTTGGAAATACAAGCAGAGTGATATTTAGGTTTTCGAGTTCTGAATAGTGTCGTTTTACAACTAACAAAGATGTGCATTCTCCCACTATACAGGAAATTCATATGAGATGGCCCAGACGGGGTCTGACTTGATCCTCTTTGTGACCAATGGCTGATGTAATAAGACCGTCCAATAGGGCCCCGATGAAAAGCGTAAGACATTTGGCGAAAGCCTCCGACTGCTTGTCGAAGGATCGTGTCGTAAGCCCGTCAGCAACCTGATCATCAAGAAGCCTCCGATCATCGTGGTCGGGGGATTAAAACTCTCCAGCTAACATAGCTACCATGCTAAATACTCAGGGGTACTAGAGGTGAAATATTCGCTGCTGTCCCTTGCAACGACAGAACACATCTTCTTCGAAAGCTCATTGTGAACTATTTTAAGCTCACGAGATTTAGAACCGCCGGCGAAGCTTACAGCAGCTGACACAGAGAACCACATCCACAAAACTATTAGCACGTTCGTCAACATGACAGAGCCTCACATTGACGAGAAATCCGGTGACACCCCCGAGGTAGCTGGGTTGAATGCATCAGATTCATACAAGAAAGACTACCGTTTCTGGGCCATCTTGTTTGCGCTGTGCATCACCTCCCTTCTGGCATCGCTAGAGAATACAGTCATCGTCACCTCGCTGCCCACAATTGTCGAAAAGCTCAACTTTGGAAGCAGCTACGTTTGGGTCGCCAACATATTCTTCCTCACGAGGTAAACCTTTCCAGTCGTATTCATGCCAACACATATCTAATCTCCTGAGACGTAGCGCAGCAGTACAACCGCTTTTCGGCCAACTTTCGAACCTCTTTGGTCGCAGATATCTCACCATTGCCATCGTATCTCTTTTCACCTTAGGAAGCGGCATTTGTGGCGGTGCAAATGGCCCTGCGATGCTCATCGCTGGCCGAGCGATTCAGGGAGCCGGAAGTGGGGGTATCAACATGATTGTTGACATCATCATCTCAGATCTTGTGCCGCTTAGAGACAGAGGAAATTATATTGCAATCATCCTGGTAACTTACGGGATCGGAACCGCGATAGGCCCCTTCGTGGGCGGAATCATTGTGCAGAAGACGTCTTGGAGATGGGTCAGATTTCCCCTGGTCTTTCTGTGGCAAATGCTAACTCACGCAGGTATTCTACATCAACCTGCCTGTTGGCGGCTTCTCACTTGTCCTTCTTTACCTCTTCCTCCACGTGAAGTGGGATAGGACCTCTACAACTGGAAACAAACTTCGCCGGATCGACGTGATTGGAAACGCCATTTTGATAGCCTCGGCAGTATCTGTTCTCATTGCTCTTACTTGGGCAGGCTCCGTCCATCCCTGGTCTTCCTACAAGGTCATCGTCCCCCTGATTCTCGGTCTTCTGGGTCTGTCTGTCTTCTGCGTCTTCGAAGGATCCGGAATCGTCCCAGAGCCAGTGATGCCCCTCCGCCTGTTTGCCAACCGCACCTCAGCTGTGGTCTATGCCACGACCTTTCTCAACTCGGCAATGATATACTGGGCATTCTTCTTTCTCCCTCTCTACTTCCAAGCCGTGAAGCTATCAACCCCTGCACGGTCCGGCGTGCAGCTACTACCGGTTTGCCTTATTGCCATTCCAGGGGCTGCTGTATCTGCGGTGGTACTCAGCCGCTGGGGAAGATATAAAGCCCTCCACATCTCTGGCTTTGCGCTCCTTGCAGTCGGCTTCGGCGTTTGGACCCTGCTAGACCGACACAGCGGCACAGCGGCATGGGTGTTGGTCCAAGTTGTGCCAGCGCTGGGGTCAGGGATGCTCCTCAACACGCTACTGCCGGCATTTCAAGCTAGCGTAGAAGAGAAGGACCAGGCGGCAGCAACAGCGAGCTGGTCGTTTATCCGGAGCTTTGGTCAGATCTGGGGTGTAGCTATTCCAGCTGCCATCTTCAACACCTACACCGCCAAGTTTGCTGAGATTGTTGATGACGCTGGGGCGAGGGATGTGCTGAGACATGGAGATGCTTATGCGAGCGCGACGAAGGTGTTCGTTGAGAGTTTCTCTACACCCGTCAGAGATCAGATTATTGAGGTTTTCACTGAAGCTTTGAGGAAGGTATTTTTTATTGCGCTTTCGTTTGCGGGGCTCGCCTTCTTGCTGAGCTTTCTTGAGCGAGAGGTCAAGTTGAGGAAGGAATTGGAGACTGAGTTTGGACTTGAGGAGAGGGACCAGACGGAGAAAGGAGTGGTGTCGGTTTAGTTGACATTGCCAACCAAGCTACCAGGGTGGCCGGTTAGACTAAGTCGCAACAGTCGCGCGACTTTTGCAGTATACCGGAGTAACAAGCTTCGTGAGCTTCACAACGGCGCTGAGCAACGTCCAATTGACTCAGGTCTGAGCGAATTCATTTCTTCATAATGACATGGAAGTTGAGTCTGTTCCACGGTAGCTATTACCCCAAACGTAATACAAAGATCTTGCAGTTCCTACGCGGAAAAGCTTTCAATAACTTAGCTTCGGCGCATGCAGCACTCCGACGGGTCAATACAGAGCGAACAATGATATGAGTCGTGTCACTCTAGGCTAGAATCAGCTTCAGCAAGACATTACTGTCTGCAACGTGCGCTACGGGCTGCTCCGTGTTCGTAAACACGACTAATGTATTGGCTCACCAACCTTGACCCGCCGCCAGATCTAGAAACCAGATTATGCTTATTTTCGCTGTTGTCTGTTTGTCTTCCCTGTCTACCTATCTGCCCGGCGCAGTACCGTGCAACTAAGCCGGTGACAGCACCGGCATCCCTTATTCAGCCAAGGCCTTGGGCATCCTCTTGTTTGGGGTTTATTTCCGCGATATGGCCATGGCCCCATTACCCAGAGTTCTGAGTCAGGTCGTCTAAAGTTGCTGTCACAGAGTGGGTATTCTAAGGTGCATCAGGTTGCGTTGGGCTGTTGAACGAAATACGCGATTGTGCCTTCACGGAGAACTGTGGGAGTCCGACGGAAACGCATTTACCTTTTCCGGTTGTAGGGATGAATGTTGGCATTGATGCACAATTGAGGCTGAAGGCGTGGAGATCGGCTGCACATACTCGTCGGCAGGCGGTGCCATCATCAGCGAACTAAAGACAAAGGCAAAAGCGCACGCCCCTTGCTTGGCAACTTCATTGCTCTGCGTCACAGCACGGATCGGGCAAACATTACCCTACTCAAAACTCAAACGCAGCGGGGGGTCCTTATTCGTTTCGAAGAGCAATTCGCCCCGTGGTGCGGCCCGGCAAATGGGGCCTAAACTCAAAATCAGTTGTTCGTCGCACCTCCTCCCAGTCATCTCTTCCCCGTCTTTTCTGTCTCTCTGTTCACATTCTGGTTTGGCCGTCCGGACGCCCTGTCCTCATGCCGTCCTATGGTGCCTCGCCAGCAAATCGCCCAATGATAATTGACTTTCACAACCTGGAAACTTTGAGGGTAACATGAGATTCATGCACACGTGGAGTTTCCACGCCGATGTGAACGTCCAGAACCCTGTCCTCTGAGCCGAAAGTCGACCGGATCTCATGAACACCTGTGACCTACGGCGTACAGGGAAAGCTGCCGATACGAGTTGCTCCTTCTCGGCACTTGACTACAGCTCCGGAAATTGGCCGATCGCGATCGGTCTTCGCACTTCATCTTTAAGTGCGCGCGCCTTCAACGTCTTCCTGGGCTGCAGAGGAGCGAGAAGAGGATGGCCATGGATGGATACAGGATACGAAAGCCGACCGGACCTCGCGATCGCAAAGCGGCCGCGGCTGCTCGACAATGTCCATCTTGCCGCCAGCTATGGGCAATGGTCAGTCATATTCTGACTCGTTGTTACACGAAGAATACTTACCAGACTTATAGTGCGAGTGTCGACGGATCCGTCAACGGAAGAGATCGTTGTCGTCTTCCACCTCAGCGTCGCCAATGAGCCATTCATCTCCAGCTACTGTTGGCTCAAAAATTACAACACCTGGAGATCTCAACACCACGCCGGGTGCATTGGAACCTTTGCCGCATGAAATCACGACTGCTTTCTTTGCGTTCGTCGGAGATTCGCCATCGCCCCTCACAGATGTGTTTTCACTCTCATTTCTGAGAACATACCTGGAAACATCCATACCCGTGAGGGCCGTTGTCATGACCATCGGCAAAATTCTTCTCGAATTTCAAAAAGGGGGAGACGTGAGCAAAAAGCAGGCGGCTGCAGCTGCGGTGGCTGCCTCAGACCGTCACAAGTTGAATGATTTCTTGGATATCCTCACATCGCCAGAGTGCCATGATCAACATCTGACGCTGGTATTTGGCATTCTCCTCGCTTACATGGAGGCAAGTCAAGAGATCCCGGCGTTAGGATGTGGAAAATTGGTTTAACTAACAACTCCAGGCCATGGTAGCCCGTTCATGGCTCCTTTTCCAAGCAGTATTGCGCAAGTTATCAGACAAAATACAGGATCAACTAAAGAAACAGCGACGAGGCCCTCATCTGTATTTCGATAGGGGCCTTCTCATCAACTATTCTCTTATGGCTGGCTACCACGCCATGATCTCATTTGAAGACACATATCTCGTCGATGTTGACCTCTACGATCCTTCACCATTCGCAGACATTGACTCAGCTACCAGCAATATCCGCGCAAATGCCGCGATCCTCCATCATTACTGCAAATACGTCGTGAACTTTGCTCGACTGCACCACAGGTAAGCCTCACTATCATAAACAACATATCTGTGTATTGGAGAGATGTTAAGCCTGGGAAAATTGAATACAGAGCCACAAAATGGGTGAGACAAGCGCGTCAAATCATCGCAGACCGTCAAACCGAATCTGAAGCAACGGAGGACGAGCTTAAGGAGGCTCTAGCCAGCTATGGTTTGCTGAAATCTGGAAAGGAGGTTGTCGAAAGCTCTGGTAGAGTGATCGACGTGATGGAGATGTTTCGAGGCAGAGACGATGCAAGCGACGACGTGGAAGGGAACGATTTTGGTTGCATGAGAGAGGTCTTCTACCATTTTGCCCTCATGGGACTCACCCGAACCTTCTGGGACCCAACATGGAAACTCATCGACGAGCACCTCCCGCATATGCACGACATGCCTGATCTTGAAGCACATGGTGTCTTTGTTCTCGAAAGGCTAGAGCAAAGAGTTCCTATGCTAGGTCTTGAGTCATGGTGCTACTTGGTAATTTTGATGGGTGTTGCAATGGAGGTCAGGCAGGTGGAATATCAGAAGAGGGTGGAAGTTGTGGTCTCAGACATCGCAGGAAAGGGGTTTGCCTGCGCCGAGTCGATGTTGGGTGACATGAGGCTGCTCTGGGGGATGGATTACGCGGCCCAACACGACAGCAGCATCGGTCCGACCTGCTAACACGGAGAACTAAACTATCGGTCGAGGAAACATTGAGGAATCTTGCATGATTTCAAGTTCCCGAAGAAAAATATGAAATAATATGAGAAGCCATCGCAAGGTCCAAGAACCAACGTGCATAGGCATGTAAAAAAGTGACCTGATGCTGCGGGGCCCTGTGCTTGGTACCATGGTATTGCGCTTATCCCCGTTGCAACACCGCACCCTTGACTTCGTTTCCGATATGGATATGTATGTTAGATGCTAGATCTACAGCCTGGGTAAATCTTCTCCCCTAGAACCAGCCGTTTTTCAATTTCAATGAGTGTTGAAAACCACTAATTCATTGTATAAGCCAATGACAGCACAAGTAGCTCGAATGACGTCATACCCAAACACATTGCTTCCCCGCAGTAGAGGTCGCACAGCAGACGCACCGATCTACCACTACCACCTCTTGACGCCTCGCGAATTATTCCGATTACAGGAACTACAAGATCACCTGTCGGTTTTCACAGATTCACAGATCTACAGCGACACTATGGCGCCGCCAATTTGCACTAAGACGTTTAAGCTCAATAATGGTGCGCTGCTTCTTGCCAGGGAAAGGTTGCCGAACTGACAGGGCAAATCCTAGGACTCGAATTCCCTGCCGTTGGATTGGGAACTTGGCAAGGTAAGTAAAAAGCCTTGGCTTGTTTAAACACAATGGATTGACAAGCTACAGGCAGTCAAGGAACGGATGACGCCAAGGCCCTAGAAGAGTCCATCATTCACGCCCTCAAGGTCGGCTACCGCCTTATCGATACTGCCCAGCTTTATGGTGTCGAGGAGGTCGTCGGCAAGGCCATTCGCAACAGTGGGGTTCCTAGGTCTGAGATCATTGTGGTGACCAAGTTCTGGGGAGAGTGGCACCACGACCCGGCGGCAGCTTTGCAGATCTCTCTCGATGCTCTCGGCCTCGACTACATCGATGTGTTCCTGATGCACTGGCCGTGGGCCACCACATCCGCCCCTGAGAAGAAGGTTCTCAAGAAGTGGGAGAGTCCTACCTTCATCGAGACCTGGAAGTTGATGGAGCCTCTGGTTGGGGAGAAGTGCAGGACCATTGGCGTTAGCAACTTCATGCCGAAGGTCATGGATGAGCTCCTGGCTGAGGCCAAGATTGTGCCTGCCATAAACCAAGTGGAGATGCACGCATTCAACCCTAACCTGAAGCTGGTGCCTTACTGCCAAGAGAAGGGCATTCATGTGATGGGCTGGAGGTGAGACCGTCAGCTCCTTCGGCACCAGAGATTACTAACTTCATTAGTACCCTGGGCGGATCGCGATCCGCGCAGAATGAAATCCTCACTCACGAACTCTTCACCAGCATCGCTAAGGCGCATGACTGTTCCACTGGCGTTGTATCGCTGTCCTGGGCTGTCCAACGTGGAACTAGCATTATCCCGAAGAGCGCGAACAAATCGCGCATTGAGGAGAACATCCGCTTGGTAACGCTCACCGATGAGGAGATGAACAAGATCAACGACGCCCATAAGACGATCAGGAAGGAAAGATTCTCTAACAACATCGAGTCCCAGCACATGGTCATCGATGGCGTTATGACTCAGCAGGGCTGGACTTACGTTGACATGGGATACGAGGACGAGAATGGAAACTGGTTGGTCTAAATCATCATCTAACTAAGTGCTAGAGGGGATAGACAAAAGGCCGGGAAATCCAGGAAAATACCGATTCAAAGTGGCGTCCAAAACCCTTTCCAGTTTACCAAGCCATAGCGTCCTGTGGGGCCTTAACCTTAGGTTCCTTGAGAACACTGCCATTCTTAGAGCTTCGCCCAGTCAAGACGTCGTAGATTCGCTGTCCAAATTGGTTGAATGCATTTGTCATACCGCCCATCTTGGTCAGCTTTTTCTCTAGCTCAGAAAGCTGGAAATCGAAAGACATCCCATCAACGGTCACAACATTGCGGTCAAGATCAATCTCGATGTCCGCTCCCATGTTTGCCTTCTCGTAAAATTGAGCATCATTGATGATGAACCCCCATAGTCCCAAAGATGGCTGATTCCTGCTGTAGATGAAGGCAAAACTCTGGGCTATAACACACTTCACCCCAGCACCTGTTGTCAAATGTTCAGCATGGTCCTTACTACTCCAGGCCGAGAAGCGCGTTGCATCCAGTCAAAGACAGACAAACCTAGCAGTGATTGAACAGACTCCTGGCGGCTAGATCCGCACCCAAACGCCTTGCCGGCGACGACCACCTCGTAACCTTCTTTGACCTTCTGTCGGAACTCTGGGGTGGTGTGCTCAAGACAGTGGCTTCCTAACTCTTCGTTATTCTTTGATGTAAGGAGATATTGGGCCGGGGCAAGCTGATAAGCAGCAGTCAGTAACGTCAGTGTCTAATATCTGTCTTAAAAGCAGGGTCAGAGACGTACCGCATCAGTGTCAATAAAGTCTCCCAATCGAAAGACTTTGCTCTTAATAGTGCCAGATCCTGTTGCCCCATTGTCTCCCGCTCTGGCGTCAGTCAGTTTGAATTCCTGCTCATCTTCTGCGCCCTCTTGGTTCTCGGCATCTTGTCCAGGTGGCTCGACCCAGAGCGGTTGGGTGAGAGGTCCCTCGGGAAGTGAGCCTTTGCCTTTGATGCTGTTCCATCGCTCATCTGGAACAAGATCGATGAGCTCCTGCGGCGATGTCACGACCATGTCAAAGGACGACGCAGCGACCGTTGCGGCGGAAGCCAAACTTCCAATAGCCCCTACAACACACCATCAGTTCTAGTAAATATCAAAAAGACATATCCGTGTTTCAAAACCACTTACCCTTCCCCATTCGGTTTTCAAAGTTGCGGTTTTGGCTGCTCAACCAGACCTCACCTGGCTGGGCCATATCCGCACCCATACCCACGCAATAGCTGCATCCTGGAACACCGATGGTGAAGCCAGCACGTTCATAGATCTCTGCGAGTCCGGACTTTCGCAAGTAGTCCGCGATAGGACGGCTTCCCGGTACCACTCGGCGGTTTCCTCCCGCAACGGGCTGCTTTCCTGCCTCGAGACCAGCTTGCAGAACCAATGCTCCCATTATGAGATCTTCCTCCGCCGTTGTGCATGCGCCGATAAATACGCCATCGAGATGTGTGCCTGCAACCTCTGACACGGGCACAACATCATCGGGACTAGGATATCGAGCCACGAATGGCTGCGCCAGAGATATGTCAATGATGTGAGACTCAGCGTATGAACAACCTTCGTCCGGCTTGAAGTAGTAAGAAGCGGTCTTGTGATGAGCCGTCTTTCGAGAATCGATGAACTGCTTGGTTACTTCATCCGCATGGAAGATGCCTGTGATGCCACCAAATTCAGTTGTCATGTTAGCAACAGCGAAGCGGGCGTCGGGGCTCAGCCATCGACATCCTGGCCCAGTGTACTCTACAACTCTGTCCGCCGCAACGGTGTTGCGCTTGAGTTGTTGCAGTATATATAGGATAATGTCCTTCCCGCCTACACCTCGTCGTGGTTTGCCGATCAGGCGAATTTCAACAACCTCTGGAACCTTGAACCAGATCTCGCCAGTGACGAGCGCCATCGTGACTTCGGTGGCGCCTAGGCCAATAGCAAGACATCCATCAGCGCCCGCACTACAGGTATGAGAATCAGAACCGATGATTATCTGTCCAGGCTGTGCACGCTCGCGGTAGAACTCTGTATGCATGATGGTGTAGTTGTGGCCTTGGAACTCGGTCATTTTGAACCTCTTTCTTGCAAAGTCCATCTGGCCAACAAGCTTCTGGACAAGCGGTGTGTCCATAATCCTGGGATCAACAACATGATCGCCTGCAAGCCAAAACCTGGAGTTCGAGAAAATACCAGGATCTCCAAGCTTGTTGTACGCTTGAAGCATGCCCTGTCATACGTTATCGGGGTTGCTCTCCACGAAATTAAGCGCCCAAACCTACGTGCCAAGTTGCTTCACTGGCCATGACCCAGTCAACGGAAATCCTGATGGTGTCCCCAGTGCGTACCCATCCTGGAAGATTTACATCGTGCAAGGCGAATATCTTCTCCGTGACGTTCATAGGACGGCGGCCAGCGGGCCTATTGACCAAGGGCACGATTGGTCCACCGCACCTTTCGGCTGAGTTGAGAGACTCAAGCCCTACAGATCCGATTCTCAGTACGACCCGAACAGCAACCACGTTCTTGGCACTATATAACAAAGAACGAGGGGGTGAGAGTTCTTACATGCGGATGCCAAAAGTACCACCTCATCTATGTCTTTTTCTGATAAGTTCATGTCCGTTGAAAGTCCCATGCCTCCGTAGTCAGGAGATCCCGTGGCGATAGTGAGAACCTCTTGGATTGCGCCTGCTTCTTTAGGATTTCCATCTTCAAGCAGCTTCTTTGAGAGCGACGATAGAGTTGAGAGAGCATTGATACCCTGGTCTACTTATAGTCAGCACGAGGAACTTGGTCTTTCCACCGTCGATTCCGCAATGGTTCGCCAGGAAGCACGGGATTTCGGACCTGCTGGAGCCCAGCCAGCATTGATGCCAACATTTCTGGTTGCTTTCAGTATTTCTAGGACCCGCGTTTGGAAGCTATTCGCGGCCATTGTGGAGTAGTAAGCTTCGCGGTGGTCACTGGCAAAGTCTAAGGTAGATCGACGAAAATCGTGAGGGTTCAACTTAGAAACTGCCCACTTCCACAGCGTTCTTCACATCTGCTCCGGGGAAATGCTCTCTGGGGTGGCCAGCCGGTGCCTTTTCAGTGGTTGGGGTCATATGTTAAAGTTTAAACTTGCTGGGCTGGACCAATGCTTCGGCCCGTATTACAACACATGCATCCGGGGTGCCTGGGATGCGCAAGTCAGGGCGAATACGACGCAGTCTCATCCGTGCGTTCCACGCAATTGACGTGGGGTTCCGACCATAGTAAGTATTACTTTCTCCTTGTTCAATCTCGAAGCTCGGTGAGCCCTCAGTTGAAGTGTCTAGACGTCTATTAACGTTTTTGCGGATTACATTTTTTCCCTCTCGACACAAGGAAACAACTGTACTGCTATCCACCAGGAGAGGCACCAGATATTATCATGCATGCCCCTTTCGACTCAAATATGATCTCGCTACCGTCTCATAGGTGACGAACTCAACTTGTGTTCCATGACCTTTCATCCACAGCACCATGCTCTCAATAGTTCCAATAATGTGTGCCATTCCAGATGTATCAGGATGCAAGATTAACGGAAACACGAAATCCGCAGGACCTTCGCCGTCCGGTCCATGATTCCAAAGCCAAGTGAATCTGTCTTGCCACATCCTCTCAATCGACTGAGACGGCACGTATCCATGCGAGTTTTCCACGTTCGGTAGATACTGCAAGGGTGTCATATCCTCCATGTACCAGTTGGCGGGGATCTCGACGACTTTGGAAGGCTCTGGCAAAGCACAGGGTCGCATCCAAGTCTGTGCAGGCTGTGAATAGTCTACCGGTACTGGTGACGGCCCTTTTGTGAGTTGATATAGCTGAGAATCGTGATCGCTTAGTGAAGAGTCATATAAGAAGCCTTCACTCTCGAGCAACTCAATCGTTTCTTCTCGTAGTCGATAGAGGGGCGCTCGGTATCCAACAGGCTTCTTTCCAGTGAGAGATTGAGCAAGTTTGATGCACTTCTCGAAGATGTCCTTCTCTTGCTGTGTGCTTAGTCTCGTACAGTCTTCGTGACAATAGCCGTGTAATGCGACCTCTGCTCCAGAATCAATGATCAACTGGGTTTCCACGGGAAATGTCTCCATTGAATGACCCGGAATGAACCAAGTCATCTTGTCGGCAACATCCAATCGTTTGAAAAGACGGATCAGACGGCTCACTCCAACATGGCCTGCGAAGAAGCCTGAGGAATAGTCTGCCAAGCAGTTACGTGGGTGCTGTCCTGTGCCTAACCATCCAGAGACTGCATCAAAGTCGACCGATAGTAGTATTCGAACGTGTCGAGATGGCGCACTTATTGCTTGAGGAATCTGAGCAACAACTGAAGTCGTTTTCAATCTTCGTATGAGACCTTCAAAAGATGCGATTGCTTCAGGACTATCTCCGTTTGGAGCAACCCGAACGGGGACTCCTCCTACTTCGACGACTAGATTTCCTAGGTTAGGCATGGAAGCTGCAAGCATCTTCTTGTACATGGATCATTGTCTACTTACGCTGCTCCATAAGATATTTTTCTTCAGTACAAAAGCTAACTGTAAGATGGCGAGACGCGAAGCATTCTAGAGCTGACTTGAAAGGAGATATACTTTAAAGGTCAGCCTAAAGGCCTCATTATCCACAGAGATACTGAGGAGTGAGGGGTAGTTGGAGCTGCTAATGAGGGGTGAGATGTCGATAAGAAGAAACTTCGGCTGTACAGGTTCATTCGGTCGCCATCTTTCTGCATATGCAGCTAGAAGATAGCCGAGGCCGGCCACTGCTGTGGTGTTCATTGGCGGTCAGAGCGGGTTCTGCGACAGCACAAACGCAGGCTCCAGACCGATCCGGTGTGAACAAGAGGGGTCGGCACTACTCCAGTCCACTATTACTTCATCAATCAGGTCCCCGCCGGATGTTCGTGAGCATCGTCACCCAATAGCAACGCTGATCAGAGCCAACGATAGGAACTGGAGGATTCCACTTTCCTACTGCAAGTGCCATGGATTCGTTATTCTCGGTCGAGAAGGCCAGGGAGCAATTTCCGTCTTTGCAGAAGGACCAGATCTTTGGCGATAACGCTGGTGGCAGTCAAGTGCTAGGCAGTGTTGCCCACAGGTAAGTGATGTCTCTGACGACGACGTGCTATCGTGTAAGAGCTTACCATGATCAGTATCTCAGAGTATCTCATAACCAACAATGTCCAGCTTGGAGCAACTTACAGCACATCGCGCACATCAACCGCCAAGTTTGATGAGGCCTATCGGATCGCATCTCAGTACATCAATGCTGGCATTGACGAAATTGGTGAGACCGACGCTGTCATCCAAGAAAACTGAAGACTAATAGGTTTTCTTCACTTCGAGTGATTGGAGCATCCACCACTCAGGTCTTGCGGAATCTCGCGGCTTCCATCAAGCTCGAAGCTGGCGATGAGGTCATTCTCTCTGAAATTGACCATGAGTCGAATATTGATCCATGGCTTCACTACGCCCAAATCGCTGGCGCGAACATCAAGTGGTGGTCGCCAGCTGATCGATCGAACCCGAAGCTTGATACCAAGACTCTTCAAAGTCTATTGACTACCAAGACACGCCTTGTGGCATGTACACATGCTAGTAATATTCTTGGTAGCATTCATGACATTAAAGCCATTGCCGATACGGTGCACGAGATTCCCGGTGCCCTTCTTTGCGTGGACGGCGTTGCCTACGCTCCACACCGGGCGATTGACGTAAAAGAACTTGGCGCAGACTTTTATGCCTTTTCTTGGTACAAGGTGAGCTCCCCGAGTCTATGAGATTATTGATAGAGAATGAAAGCATCTGGCATCAGTATCACATGAGTTGACACGTGGAAAATCAGGTCTATGGGCCTCATATCTCCCTTTTATACGGTTCACGCAAGGCCCAGGAACAACTGAAACCGCTAGGACATTATTTCAATCCATCTGCAAGTTTGATGGATAAACTGGAGCTCGCCGGTGCCAGCTATGAGCTGACGCAATCTATCATACCCCTTGTCGCTTATTTTGGGAAGAACCCCAAGAAGACATGGGATGAGATCACCCAGCACGAAGAAAAGCTTCAGAAGCGCCTCATTGAGTACCTCGACTCAAGACCAGACATTTCCATCCGTGGAGAAACTTCATCCGAGGCCGCAGTTCGACTACCGACTGTGAGTTTCACGGTGAGGGGAAGATCCTCACAGAGCGTAGTAGAGGCCATCGAAACACAATCGAATATCGGAATTCGCTGGGGTCACTTCTTCTCCAAGAGACTGGCTGAAAAGGCTCTTGGTCTCGACGATGATGGTGTAGTGCGGGTCAGCCTAGTGCACTACAACACCGGTGAGTAACATCGTGATTCTTGTCTTTTGCAGACATGCTTCCCAGAGAGCTTACACCAAGACGTGTTAGTGAACGAGGTTGAGGCAATTGTCAGGGTTCTGGATAAGGTTTTGGGTCCAATTTAACGAAGTCGGAGAATGATGGGGCTGCGCATGCAGACGAGGATGCACGTGGCTATGTGCACGCAAGCTACGGGATCAGAATGAGGGGCAGGAGTGCCGACCACCCCGTGCAGAGACTTTCGGGGTAGTCAGATTAGGTCCCATCTAGAACAGGTAGCGAAGGTGAGGTCAACCAAATATCATAACCTGCCTCAGTCAGACTGCGTTCGTCGAGGCAAACTACCGGTCCGAGGTGTTATCCGATAGAATGGAACGCCACGCGGCAAGACACAACAACCTACGATGCTTACACCTGGGGTAACGTTGTAACCTCCAGGGACGAACCAAGTGACCTGACTCATGGTCTTCGGTGCTTTCTCGTTTGGGACATCCCAGGTCCGAAAGCTTGCGATACATTCGTAGTTCTTCATTGGGGTTGGGCACGTAGAAAATGGAAATAGAGTTCAAAAATACCAGTCATGCAACTGGGCTAGACAGATCTAATGGTGAGAAAACTCCACACCTCGATGCCAACCGAAAGGTTTCATCTGGACTTGGTCAGGTTCATCCGCGTTGTCCAGGACCACGGTGTGCCGAGGGGCCGGACAATTTAGAAAGCATCGAGAAGACAACTGCATAGTCTGTTTTGCCATGGGGTTCAGTCTCAGGAAGCTCTCTCATTGGCGGTGGTTTTGGTAAACGTCTAATCACACTGTGACGCTGCACAGTCCGAACTTTCCTAGTAGGGCCGTTGTGGAAATGCAACAGATACTGAATCAGCTCCATTTCAAAGAAGGTTTGCAGGGCTTATGATGTTACGACATATAGATGTGGGACCGGCAACTATGATTCCTCTTGCTTCTTCAAAACCGCCCTCGTCGCCTCGGTCAAGTAGGTGCTCTGCGTCAACGACATTCTGTATTGAAGGTTCTACTGCGTCAAGACGCCAAATATCAATTGTCAAGATGTACGTCGTTCACTCTCTAAGACATGAATTGACACTCACTCTCACGGAGGTTATCAGATCCCCAAAATAAGTATGCTGGGTTTCTGCAGTTTGAAAATCCAAACCGGAAATGGCCCAACAGAGTATTGAAAAGACCGCCTATATGGCTGTCTACAGATCTTCGAGATGGTAACCAATCTCTCATCAACCCATTGGTACGCGGTACGCCTGTTTTGACTCAAGAAGTGGTGCTTACCCGTTCAAACAGACTGTGGAGCAGAAGTGGGAATACTTTCAGATGCTCGTCTCAATTGGCTACAAGGAGATCGAAGTAAGCTTTCCTGCGGCTTCCCAAATCGAATTCGACTTCACGCGCCGTCTCATCGAGACTCCTGGGGCGGTACCAGATGACGTTCGGATCAGAGGACTCTCTCCGACGCGTGAAGACTTTTTGGCCCGCACGGTCGAAGCCTTACGGGGAGCCAAGCGAGCCGCAATCTGCACATACATATGCACCAGCGACAAACAACTAAAGTACCAAGGTTTCACTCGCGAGAAGGCTGTAGAACAGGCTGTGAGATCAGTTCGATTCTTACGGTCTCTCACGAAAGACGATCCGGAATCTGCCTCCGTCACCCACTGGACTCTCGCCTTTGGTCTTGAAGCTTACAACGAAGCTGACCCCGAATTTGCGTTGTTGATCACAGAGGCTGTTAAAGAGGCCTGGGGGGCGACTGAAGAGGATCCGTTGGTTGCCGTCCTAGCCACCAGCACAGAGGTAGCCACGCCAAATGTGTTTGCAGACCAGGTCGAACTTTTTCAGGCTTCCTTATCTGAGCCTAAAAAGATCAGAATATCGCTTCACCCCCATAATGATCGTGGATGCGGAATTGCTACGGCGGAAATGGGCATGCTAGCCGGCGCTGGTATGGTTGAGGGCTGCCTTTTTGGCAATGGTGAACGCTGTGGAAACGTGGATCTTGTTGCTCTGGCTTTGAACTTCTTCTCGAGGGGTATTCACCCTGGCCTGGACTTTTCAAATCTTCCACAGATCAGAGAAAAGTTTGAAAGACTCACTGGACTGACAATCTCCCAGCGTGCACCGTACGCTGGTGAGTTTGCCCTACAAGCATTCAGTGGCAGCCACCAGAATATCATCCGTAAAGGGCTTGCGTGGCGGAACGAAGCTTTCGAAAGGGGGGAACAGCCGGCTTGGGACATCCCCTATCTTCCTCTCGACCCGCTGGATCTAGGTATTCCGATGGATCAAGTTATCCGCGTGAACTCGCAGAGCGGCAAGGCAGCCGCCACTTGGATTCTCAGCCGACGATGGGGGCTCGATCTTCCTGTCGACCTTCAGATTGACTTCGGTCGCCGTGTACAAATGATGTGCGAAGCCCTGGCTCGGGAGATCAGTCATCAGGAGGTCATCAACCTGTTCATCGCCAGCTACGCACTTTCGTCAGAAAGACATGGTACCGGCAATATCAGCGTTTTTAGTGACGGAACCCTCCAGAACGTTACTGGAACAGTCAATCCAGCGGACGGCTTGACGATACGGGTCAATGGATCCGGCAGCAGTATTGCGTCCGCAGTCATTAGGGGGCTTCATTTCATGAAGGGAATGGACGTGGATGCCGAAGTCTGTCACACGCAACAGCTTACGTCCGATTTCGATCAAGGCAAAACTTGTGCATTGGCGACATGTACTGAAGGGGAGCAGACAGCTTGGGGCTACTCCATCGACAGCAACCAATGTACAGCGCAGGCAATGGCAGTTGTTGCGGCGGCTTTGGTATGTATCGTATCAATCTGTGACTTGTAAGCCTAGGCTGACTTATTTTGCAGCACCTCCATCGCCGCAAGTTGTCAACTCTTCCGTTGAAGAAGCATGGGGCCACGACTAGGATGGATGCAAAGGCAGCACCTCCGCAAACCATTACCAAAGCATAGCGCCAGTATAGTATGCTATACAATCAGTCGGGTTCTGTATGATGCTTCCATCAATCAGTTTCTACTTCCCGGGTAGCCGTCACAATACATAGATAATTCTGAAACACTGTAATCTCACAACTTCTTAGAGACAACGAATCTAGACGATACTCCCATGTCCACTATTAAGGTACTTGATAAGGGACAGAACTCTGTCATTTCGAACTACTGGCCCACGCTCTCACAGCCGAAGAGGCATACCTTGCTCGGCTTCTTCGCCATGTTGGATGCGTTCCGGTTCCACGGAATCCGCGGCCCGACTGTTCCATGCACGATTGGCAATTTCTCCTGTCGCAGGAGAGTCGTTTCTCACCAAGAAGAACCCAAGTGCCATATATATGCCGATAGCAACAAGTTCGTCAAGGACAGCCATGGTCACGTAGACGCCCAGATCTCCCTTGACCATAGAAAACGTCTTGCTGTGCAGAAAGGTACCCAGAATCGAATAAATGATTCGAGTCAATAGAAAAGGCCATGCCAAAAGTATCGCGACAAGCAAGCGTCGCTCGATATGAGGGACTTGGCTGAGGGGCGTGAAGGCTTGTTGGGAGACGACTATGACAGCCGTGATTGCAATGAAGCCAGCAAGGTATAGCAGTATAGATGCTTTTGTGATGGCATGGGGCTGGTACGTGCCGTCTGAGGAGTAGCTCATACTCGTGCCACCAACGATGCTTAGGATTAGGCCGACAAATAATACGGCCTGGATAATTCTGAAGTGCTTAGTATTGAGTGAAGAACCTCTGGTTGCCTTCACCCAGTCAAAGCTGTCAAGGTGTGAGCTTCCTGAGACGTTCTTGGTGTTCGGGGTTAAAATACAGTCTGGAAACCATTCCGAGCGTTGCTAGGAGTAGTGGCGAAATAGCAACCCCATTGAGAATAAGGGCAGCTTGCATCAAGCCAACAGACGAGTTGTCGTACGTGGCTAGGTGAATGATTGAACCAAGAAATCGAGCGATACAGAATATGACGGTATATATCCAGCCAGCGGAGCGATTGAATCCAAGTTTGGAAGAAATGTAGGCTGCGAGTAATAGACTTGGGCCGTAGATAGCCACCTCTACTACTGAGACCCCTCCTCTACCGTCAAAAGGGCGACCCATTGTTGTGCAAGATTTTGGGAAAGTCAGCAAGAGAAGAAAAGTGATTAGTTTGGCTTCAACAGGCTTTATGATTCATATTCAGCCACCATATTGAAGAGCTCATGTTGGTCTTTATACGCCAAGGCAGCCATAGACCGCAGAGCAGGACTGATGAAGAGGCCCCCGCCGCTCGCACTCGCTACAGTCGACCGGCACTGATATCCGACCATTACCTGAAATCGTAAGCAAGTGGAGGGATTTATTGCAAAGAAAATCCGCTATCTTGATACCGCAGCAAATGGGGCTCGATTTACTACCATTGCCGTGTAAGTGCTTCTCAGCAACCCCAGCTCAGCTGAAGTCTTCGCCGAATGTAGTGGGCTTCACGACACCAAGAAGGCCTCCCGCGTACCGCCGTAGAGAGGTTGGATTGATTTGTTCAAAGTCGTGTTTGCAGGGATGAAATATGGAGCAATACGGGCGGGTCTTCGTTCACAAAGACTCAAGATGTTCATTAATGCTCTGCATAAATACGAGACTAAACCAAATGGGGTGGGCGTCTCGACGTGGAACCCAGGTTGTGAAAGAGCCGGGATGTTGGAGCCAACGCCGTTCTTCCGACGCTTTTCGGCGTAGCAACGGCCCCCAAACACAGCCACCAACAAGAAAGAAAGCACTGACGCACCGCCATTTGGTCTGTCTGCTTCGACATTATCTCCAGTCCCCGCGCCGAGTCAAGGAGAACATTCATCGGTGAGGGACTTTCGACCGGCGGACCACAGTCCCCCACGGCCAGTTGCCCAAACTCAGATTATATTGTCTGGCCAGGTCCCGATCATGGTCTTCTCCGGCCGGCCATCAGACGCGTGCTACCCCTGTCGCAAGGGAAGACTCCGGGTTCGTACTCCATCCCCCATCATTTCCCGTCCAAACCCCCCCTTTCGCCTACTGGTCCGCTCGTATCCTCGGGCTTCAACCGGTCAGGTCAGCCCTACGATGGTGGCAACGCACCACTTCCGCAGTGCGCATCGCCGCACTTCGCACATAACCGACCGAGAGACGCAAAGGGGGCCAAGGCTAACGTTGTTCCTTTTTCGTTCCCGTTCCGCAGTGTGATCGGATCCAGCCCGGATGTACTCAGTGCTCCCGCAAGAACATCACCTGCCCCGGCTACAGGGATCTTTCAGACTTCTTATTTCGGGATGAGACAGCGAACGCCGCCTTAAAGGTACAGAACCGGAAGCCGAGAAGGCGCCACGAGGCCAAGGTTCGGCCGCAGCCGTCGGCGGATGCGTCGTCCTCTCAGCTGAAACTTCCTCAACGGCAACATGCAGAGGCGGTCGCGTCGACGTCGGCGGCGGGGGCGAAAGCGGCCGGCGCCGCTCCCCATGCCGCTCGGAAGTTGAATACCGCTTTCAGATCGCCCGCAGATCCCTCCTCCGAGGTTGATGTATCTGTAGTTCGTTATCGGAATGTTTCAACCCCTATCGAAGACCTTGCCCGCACATATTTCATGGTCGAATACATCGCATCTTCGCCTTTCGAGTACCTACCTAAACTGTATCCCCACGGGTTGAATGAGCAAAATGCCATGTCGGCCGCCATAATGGCCGCCTCCGTCGCTAGCCTTGCCCTCAAGTGCTCTGATGGGAATCTCATGAAGCAAGCGCGAATGCACTACGCCAAAGCACTCTGCCAAACCAACAAATGTCTCAGTTCCACAGACCTTGCCGTCCAGGACTCAACGCTCGCTGCCGTTCTTCTACTGGGCCTTTTCGAGGCAATTGTCTTCACAGGCCAGCAGTCTCTCGACAGCTGGAACGCCCACACCGTCGGGGCCGTGGAGCTTCTCCGCCTGCGTGGACCCAAGCAGCTGGAGACGCCTCTCGGGCGCACTCTCTTCCTCCACTCAAGTGGCAACATCCGGACCAGCTGTGCGCATACCAAGAGAGCGGTTCCTCCTCGACTCCTGCAGCTGTTTGAGAGTGCGAAGCCGATGCTGGATCTCAGCGATCCGTTTCTCATGACAGCTCCGATTGTCGACCGAGTGGCTAGTTTGAGGTCAAGGATAGAGCGCGTCCATGACCAAAACAGACGAGACCTAGTGTGGGAGGCACTTGATCTGGATATCGAGACTTTGAGGCTTGGCCAAGGTGTTGCAGAGGACTGGAAGTTTACAGCGAGGCTTCCGGGGCAGAGTTCACGCTTGACATACAAGGGCATTTCGCTTCGGTACCCGTCTCTGCGAGCTCTGCGATATTGGAACGCCCTTCGGATCATCCGCATGTTCCTTAACGATCTTGTCTGGGTGCAGTCTTCCAAGATTCTCCAGCAGGGCCCTGACCTTGACGATGAGACCGACTATGAGGAGCTTCAGACGTCCGCCAAGAGAAACATGTCAACGCTCGTGGTCGAGGTACTCGCCAGTTGCGGTGAGTATCTCGAGCCGGCCGAAGAAAGGTTCTCTGTTTCAGCCCGCTGCTTGATCTGGCCGCTGTCAGTCATCGCTGAAGTCTCCATCACGCCGCCCGATGCGCGCCAGTTTGCTACCGACTGTCTTGAACGGCTTGGACGGGACTGCCGAATCCCAAAAGCCGCTGACATGACGACGAGCTTGCTGTCAATTCAAGGAGCTGACTGGTATGTACCAATTTAGCCGAGCTGCACGTCGCCCTTGTTGAGTTTTCACCCAGGCTTCACTTGTATCACCTTGCATAACTTTCAAGCATCATTGCTTTTTTTCTGGTTGTTGAAATCATCTCACACCTTCATTAGAACGGTCTACAGCGACAAACAGCTTCGAGCTGACCTATTTACATCTATCCTCTCCCAGCGCCGACCTAGCTTGAGGCACAACCGTGGCAGCCTCCATCTCCAGCCCACAACTGTGGACTCTGCCACCCTCCCTGGTTCACTGTATGCTCACTCGTTATGGCTAATGCCAGGCTTTGGGATGAGCTGCTTGAGGTATAGGAGGCAATATGCTCCCGTGCATGTGTCCACCGGGCACATTATGATGCGCGATGCTGTGCTCCGCTGAAGGATAGCTCTCACCGACAGTATTTCTGCGCTTCTTCTTGATCTGGAAGTAAAGCGTCATGCCAGCTATAAGCAGGCTAGGTATTCCGACGCCCAAGCTCGCGGCGAGTGCGACAATATCTGACCGGCTCAGCCCTCCGCTCTCCGCCGCTGCCGACGGCTGTTGTGCTTCGGCAGACGACGTGCTGCTCGAGCCGAGCCTCGAGGTCTGCGTTGCCTGCCCATTACTCGAGGCACCTGCGCCGTTACTAGCCGTGGTTTTCAAGGACGTTCGCTCGCTCGTCAGAGTTGCTGGCGCACTCAGTGCGTTGGCTGCTTGCCCGTTGGCGGTCGCGCAGTACGAGTCGTACAGATCCAGCATGCTTGTCAGATCGATTGACCAGTTCTCGACTTTGCTGCATCCCCTGCTGACGCACGATGAGATGTATGAGGTGGCAGAGCTACCCAGCCCAGTGTTGCAGTAGCAGCCGTTGATGGATTGGCAACCGCATTGCAAAGCAACCCCGAGGTCTTGATACCCGCCGACCCCGCAAGGATAGGCGCCATTGTACACGAGGCAGCCAGCTGCGCAGGCTCGCGCGGTCGAGTATGCAATTTCCGAAAAGATGCTGACTCTTGCGAGGGCACCTGTGGTGGTTGCGGCCAAGGTGAGGGGAGCCAGTAAGAGGAGACTAACCATCGTCAAGGGTGCCGACGATGGTATTCGAGGGCTCTCCCGTGGAACCATGATCAGCGATTTCGCTGCGGGAGTTCCTTGGACTGGTCTCGACAGTCAAATGGAGGGTTCAGGCGCAATGTGGTGGGAATGTTGGGTATTCTTGGAGTTTTGAGTTGACAGGAGGGCTATCGTGTTCCACAAGGGGCACCTAAGGTCCTCAACCGTCGCGGTCTCTATATCAAATGGAAGATTCAGCGCCATCTTCGTGCCACTTTGTTCGTCTCTATAAGAGACCAATGTGATTAAAAAAAACACAGGTAGGATGCGAGGGGCTGAATGCTGGCGATCGTGGCGACACTAGGCCGTTTAGGGCCGAACTCCGACAGCCCGCAGCGAGTCGAGATGGGCAGCTGAAGGCTTGACATGACCATCAGAGTACATTTTGGGCGTCTGAACAGAACATTAGGTTATGATAATCCTTGGGCGTGTTGTTCAAAGTCCCAAGCCAGGCTCGAACTGGAGATCCAACGGCATGGCGTCGAGTGTGTTTGCGAGCTCCAACGCCGATGCCATCGGCCAGTCCCAAACATTCCATTGCAACTGGTCAAGCACCGGTGGCTGGGCTTCTTTCGACGAGAATGTCTTTGTTTGGAGCATTTCTAGTACGTCGGCGCATTGTGTAATGTAGCCGTTGGCATCGTCCGCTCTTAGGTGGCGCAAGGTCGTCGCGCATGTCCTGACTAAATCCTCGTCCTCTTCGTCCGTGGTAATTGGCTGGCCCTTCCATCTTGCGAAGAGAATAGTCAAGCCAGCTTGCCAAAGCATGTGCATGCCATTTGGATAAAGGTGTGCGATGGTGACGGCGTCCAGTCTTCGAGGGGTGGTCTCGTCGCCAATTCCTATCGTAAACAGACGGATGAGCTCCGCGGAGGCACGGCCACAAGCAATAAGAGAGACCGAAAACTGCGGATCAGACGTCGTGAAAGCCAGTGCTGGTCGATGAATGTGAACCGTTGCGTTGCAGAAGGCGGCGCGCAGGAAGGCAACTTCAAACGTGTCGATGTTGACTGCCGGAAGCAGGTCTCCCCCATCGTCGTCCGCATCGGTCAGTTTCTCAGTCGGCAACATTCGCTCCCACATGGTGAGCTCGGCCTGCAACTGCGTGATTTTGGCTACGCCACCACGTCGACGAGTTGTCGTGTACAGCTTTTCCAGAGCTTCTCCGACAATGACTGCCAGCTTGAACATGCACAAGGCTGTGTCAACCTGTGACCGCTCCCCCGGAAGAGGGAAAGCAACACTTTCGCGTGATACTTGATCATGGTCTACGCGTGAAGGAAGATCGGTGTCCACATCCTGGTCCCGTATTAGTCGCGGCATTCCATGGTAGGCACTCGAGAATCTGACGGAGGTGTTAGCGATTGGCGAAGATGAGTGGGAGAGGGCTACCAACGCGTCGAGAGAGTACTGGCACCACCAGACGCGGCGTCGCAGCTCTGTCTCTAAGGGATCAAATTTAAATCGCTGAGAGTGTCGATGAAGTCCGAGATTCTGCGCCATGCGTGTTGCCATGCCACCAAGTTGAGATGCGACTGAGTACCGAGACGAAAGTTGGAGGTAAATCTGAGCAATCTCTAGTCCCTGTAGCGTTGGTAACGAGGGCCTCTCATGCAGCTTGCTCGTCAGAGTTGCAGACATGTGGTAGTACTTCTCAGACAAGCATAGGAAGTGCTCGTGGGCCTGAGTGCAAGTCCCCGGAAGACCCAGAGTTCCCAAAGCCAGAAGCCCTAGAACCTGGTGCAGAATACTGAGATCGCAATTCTCCGGATCATCTCGAAGCCTGTTAAATGCTTCCAAAGTCGAATGCTTGTGTACGATAGGATAAAGCGGTGTCCAGCGATCAATCGTGGCCTCGAGGATATCGGCAGCGTTGCGAGGGAACTGAGCAACCATCGCACCAATCAAGTGCGCCTCGGAGTCTTTCGGCGGGTTACCCCAGATGTTGTGTAAGTATAGGCTATACACACTGCTTGGAAACGTGTCGGTGTGTATCCGGAGCATCTGCAACTGTTGTTCAGCTTGACTGATGAAGTGAACCCCAGTCGAAGACCCTGCGAACATGGCGATCTGATCATCGTTGGAGATCAGTCGGCCCATGTGGCCAATCACAGGCTCAGGGCCCTGTCTTGACCTCGCGATTGATACCAGGTCTGCACGACGTAGCCATGTTGATGTCGACCTGTCGGAGGCGTTCGATACTAAAACGCTTGACTGGGATTGCCCGACCATTCGCGATTGTGAAGGTTCTGTTGGATTCAAAGCCGAGTCCACCACACCGGCCGCTGATTCGGGGGTTCTCACCGGAGCTGACCCGCTCCGTCTTTCATCAACAACTTCATTCTCGTAGTAACTTGAAAGCCATTAGCTGAAATCTGCAGCTATGAGAGACTTCTTGTTGGTTACCTTTTTCTCTTTCGGTTGCGCTTGAGCTTGGTTGATACCACGCAGGCGACACCGCCCACGGTGCAGGGCGTGCACTACAGGTGGATACGTCAGTTGAATCGGCAGATGGCTCTCGGGTTGCTGCAGCAGTCCGAGGGAATAGCTCACCTTCTCGCCATCCCCATAGCAGCGTATTTTTCTTCTGTAAGTGTGAATATATGTCAGTGGTTTGGTTCCATTGCCTATGGGCGCTCTTTCGATCAAAGACGCATCCAACAGTTGGTCAAATACATACCGCCGACAGCGGTCACTGCGGTGCAAGTCAGCAGACGGTAAATTTCTCAAGGGGCGGAGTTCTCACCAAACTTGTCCAGACTGCGCTCCGCCCGGGGTTTCCTGTCCATTCATGCTACCGGCGCCGTCGACATCATCAGTCTAAGGAGTCCCAAACTCTTTCAAGCCCAGATGCCAGCGACAGTGCATGAGAGGAGTCGCGCGCGCATGAGCTGTCGATGGTGATGCGATGTTGTGGAGAAGATTCAGGATGCGCCGCCCACAGCGGAAATTCTGCAGTGGTGTTCCCGCATGACTCGGTTAGTTGCATGCCGCTGGGTGACCCAACACAGCACTTCCCGCCTAAGAGGGCCATTCCCCATTGAGCAACGTCATAATAGTCCATTTCATAGTCCAAACGGACTCTTCATCTCTTCAAGTTTAGTGGAAAAGAACTTCGCATTTATATGCAAGGAAGTTGTTGAGCGTTTCCAAGAACCATGAGAGAATCGCCACGTACGTAGGCAAATACAGGGGGGTGTGAGATGCAACGCTAGGCGTCCAAAAGTAAGGACGAGACTATCTTTCCAAACCAGAGGTTTTCATAGATGAATGAAACAATCCAAACCGTTTCTCGATATCTTTCAAATTTAGTTCTAGCCCGTGAATTGTGTAGCAGAAGTCGGTCTCAAGATGCGAACACGTTTACGGTGTAAACACCGTTGGATGGTATAAGACAAATGATTGATATGGATTCTATGTTGGTATACGCCTTCGCCATGAATTGATGCTCACCTTTTTCACTTTCAATCTCCCTTCCACTAACTAATGTGTGCCATTTGTGGCGTTGCTATTGCCATTGACTTGAACAGTCTTCTGTCCCAGGAGCTCGTCAAGCATCAGTTGACAGCATCCCAAGTACTTGGTGGGATCGCACAGCTTGGAGAGATCCGTTGAGGCAAGGTGTTCTGTGACTTGTGATGACTTCTCCAAAGCCTCTTGCAGGGAAATACTGTTCTCATGAGCCTCGACACAGGCCTTGTAGACAATCTCATGTGCCTCTTGGCGACCAGTGTACTTAGCCAGGTCCATCATCACAGCTTCAGCGACGATCAAACCACGCGTAGACTTCAGGTTGGCCAACATGGCATCCTTGTTGACTTGCAGGCCAGAAAGAGCGAACTCAGCCTGGTGAAGAGAACCAACAATGGAGATGAATGCAGTGGGAATGGCAGCCCATTCCAAGTGCCAAGGGCCAGATGCTCTCTCAAAATCGGAGACCATGCCGTCCAGTACCAGGCCAGCCTGGGCACGAAGAATCTTGGACTGCGCGAGGATTACCTCGCTGGAGATTGGGTTACGCTTCTGAGGCATGGTGGAGGACGCGCCACGGTGAGGAACGTAGGGCTCTGCAACCTGGAGAGAGTCATGTCAGTATGGAACCTATCGAAAATGACGTCATGATAGACATACCTCGTTCAGCTCATTTGAGGACATGACAATCAAGTCAAGAGCAATCTTGCCCAAGCTGCCGCCAACCAGGGCAAGGTAGTTGATGATTTCCGCAACAGTGTCGCGCGCGACGTGCCAGGTGATAACCGGGTCCTGGAGCTCAAGAATGGTCGCCAAACGCTTGCGTACGCGGATACCGCTGTCAGAAGTACCCAAAGAAGCCAGAGTTCCAGCAGCACCGCCGAATTGAACAAGAAGGCAGCTCTCCTTGATCTGCTCGAGACGCTTGACGTGACGGCGGAAGCCAGCAAGCCAGACGGCGCACTTATATCCGAAGGTGATGGGAAGGGCGTGCTGCAAGTGGGTTCTGCCGGCCATCGGCACGTCGCGGTAGGCGGCGGACATATTTTCGAGGGTGGAGGTGACCTTGCGGAGGAGGCGCTCGACGATCTCAAGACCATGCTTCATCTGCAAAACTGAGGCAAGGTCCATGATATCTTGGGTCGTCGCACCCCAGTGGATGTATCCGGCTGAGAAGACCTTGTGTTAGCTCCCGTATACAACACCCAACCGAGCTCACTGGCCGACTTACAGGTCTCCTCGGGCACCCATTTTGACATCTGCTCAACCAAGGGAAGAACTGGGTAGCCAACAATCTCAGTGCGGGCGGCAAGCAACTGCCAGTCAATCTTGGAGACATCGCAGTGCTCTCTGAGAACAGCAGCCGTACCAGAGGGCACGATGCCCTCAGCTTCCTCGGCCTCAGCCAGAGCGCACTCAGCCTTGATCAGGTTGGCAACATAAGATCTCTCGGAGAAAGCTTGACGAGCCTCCTCGGTACCGAAGATGTTGCCGAACAACGTGGAGTCGAAGACGGTAGCGGCGGACATGGTGAAGGACTGGTTTGAAATGAAGGTCTTGGTATTACTGTTGGTTCTGCAGCAAGGGATGTTTGTGGAGAAAGCCAACAGGCAAGAGACTCGTTCGTTTTCAGGAGGAAGGACGCGGCGGTTCAAATGTCCCAATGACATTCAAGTGTTCCCCTCGAACACTTTTATTTTTTCCCAGGACGGAATCCTTCTGCCAGCTCCGGTCTTACACCGAACCCCGCGGTGGGGCACGGGATAACGCGATAACGGGGGGCCGGAGGGCGGGATAAGCACGGCGGCCAACCACACACGGAGTAGCGGAGTAGCGGCGTAACGGCGTAGCACGGGCCAAGGCCCGGCGAACTGGTCTTGGCCCCGTACGATCCCCAGCCCCGGGTCTGCTGCCACCCACCGCAAACGTGGGATAAGCTCGTTGCGGGGAATCTGGAGTTCTGGGGGTTAGTGTGCTTAGTGTGGTCGAACCATCCCCGCAAACCCGGGGCTCGATTCGACAGGTAGATATCTGAAGGTATAATTATGGCTATTTCTCTCCTTGATTTCTTCTAATTTTTCTCCAAGAGACCAGCTCGCCTGTTCTATTCTCTCATTTTCTTATCGACAAAGAATCTGGCCTCCGAGACTCTCTGCCTTTGTCACTATGTCGACCACTTTGGACCATAAGCCTGGCGGCCCCCTTGAAATCGAACATGACGAAAAGTCGGTCAAGGGGGAGGCTGTTGTCTCTGGAGACTACTCTGGCGCAGCTGAGAAGACCGATCCTGTCGAAATAGCTCTTGTCCGAAAGCTTGACAGGAGAATTATGGTGAGTCTGGTAGCTCAACTATCAGACGATCTAGCGCTAACATTCTGCAAGCCAATTCTCTGGGCCATGTACTTCTTGAACTACGTATGTCGATCGTCCTGTGCCGTTCCACTAAGCTATTCTGCTAACACTCGTCCCAATAGCTCGACCGAAACGCCCTGCCCCAAGCTCGTCTGAACACTCTCGAAGAGGACCTCAACCTCAAAGGTGTCGAATACAACACTGCCATCTCCATCCTCTTTGTCGGCTATCTTCTGATGCAAGGTTAGTCGCCACCGAAGACTATTGTCAATGATACCAGCGACATAGCTGACCAGGAGCAGTCCCTTCAAACATGTTCTTGACTCGCACGAAGCCTTCCGCGTACATGTCAATCTGCATGATTGGCTGGGCGGCCATCTCTGCTGCTACTGCAGGCGTCAAGAATTATTCTGGGCTCGTCGCATGTCGGTTCTTCCTTGGTTTTGTCGAAGCAGTAAGTATTTATAGGGAAGGAGAAAAGTTTCGTCCATACTAACAACTATATAGCCATTCTACCCCGGCGCGCTGTACATGTTGTCGATCTTCTACACCCGAAAGGAGCTAGCGACTCGAATTTCACTTCTCTACACAGGCCAGGTGGTCAGCACTGGTTGCTCAGGTCTGATCGCTGCTGCTACATTCGCAACACTTGATAAGGTCAAGGGAATTGCTGGATGGCAATGGTACGAGTTTTCGCTCCATTCATGGTAAAGCATATACTGACAGCACGCTTGAAGGCTCTTCATCATCGAAGGCTCCGTCACTGCCTTGGTGGCCATCTTTGGCTTCTTCCTTCTCCCCGACGACCCATCCGAGACGCGCTGGCTTACCGAGGAAGAGCGCAAGCTGGCCGTTGAGCGCATCCGTCGTGACACTGTCGGCCATCAAGAAAGAGGATCGACCTGGGAGGGTCTTAAGCAAGCTTGCAAGGATCCGAAGACCTGGCTCTTTTGCCTCATGCAGAACTTGCACATTTCGGCTTGTTCTTTCAACAACTTCTTCCCTACCATTGTCCGCAGCATGTGAGTTACTCGACACAGGACAGAAACTTCTTATTGGCGAAGATGATGCTTACACCTTTGCTAGGGGCTTCCGATCTACTACCGCTCTTCTGCTCACAGGTAAGCCTTTATTTCCTGCTGCGTTGGAATACGGGACTGACAAACAACAGCGCCACCTTACTTCGTATCTGGCTTTCTAGGAATTCCCTTTGCATGGTCTAGCGGCAGGTTCAACGAGAGGACTTGGCACATTACTGCTGGCCTAAGCCTGGCTATTGTTGGTTTTGCCATGACCTGCGGCAGCCAGAACAATGCCGTTCGCTACACGGCCACCTTTCTCTACGCAACGGGAGCTTACAGTAAGTCATTGTGTGGTTTCCTCCAGAATTTCACCGCTAACTTGGTATCAGGTGTTGGTTCTGTAATCCTCGGTTGGGTCAGCAACACGCTTTCTCAAACGCCTGAGAAGAAAGCTGTGGCTTATTCACTGGTCAATGTCACTGCTAACCTCGCATACATCTACTGTGCTTATCTTTGGCCCAGCTCTGACGGGCCTAAGTACATGATGGGCTTCTCAAGCATGATCGCTTTTGCCGCTACCAGCATCATGTGCGCCTGGGCTATGCGCGTATGGCTGATCCGGGTCAACAACAAGATCCGGGAGAGTGAGGATGAGAACGTCAAGCTCTACGCCTACTAGAAGTTCGGTATGAAGCATCAGAGGAATGGCTTTGGGATTAATGTCGCTATGTCTCCTCTTGCAGTTGAGTTACGACTTTTGAAATCTGGGGTTTCTAAGTAGATACTCGTTTAATCACTCATTGCTTGAATGAGAAGAACAACTGCCGCATTCGAGAGTTATGGTGGGCGGTCAAAGACTTCCATGGATTTCAATGACTTCATGGGAAGATGAGTTGGCCAACTCTTTGATTCAGGCCAGCAGTCGAATAAAAGCATGATAGTGTGCCTAGCGACGCCACTCCCGACTTCACTTTCCTAAAGTCAATGGTTGGGGAAAGTGCAAACCGTTATCACCGGGCAAGATACCAAAAATGGTAGCATAGCGGCTTGAGTCCAAATATGAATATAGAATTCCCCTCAGTGGCGCTGGACGATGATTTTCCTCAAGTTTTAATCAATTTATCCCCCGAGTGTTTACGCGTACCTTCGCTTTTCCGTGTATCTGACTGGTGCGGCAGTCACTTTATTGGTTTTTAAATGCGACCTCGGGCCATATCTAGGTGCATGCCGGGACTTCGAAAAGGGGTGCTAGATCTGCATGGTCGGTTGTCACCCCCGCTTGACAGAAATCCCGAACCTGGATAATGTGAAGCTTAAGTCGACCAAGCTAGCCGGTAGTGTAGCTGTCAGATGCATCTGCAATCTATGCGCAAACAGTGGCGCGCATGTATCGGGCGAGAGGACTCCGGAGCCGTCCGTGTGGACTTGAAAAAGAGGAAGGTACCTACCTATTGGAGTGTTCCCAGATGATTAGACGGGACGATAGAGCTTACTCCATGGGTAGAGACCTCCTTATGATCGCGAGCTCAAACAGCGGCAATTTTGTTTTCCGTAACACCGATCAAGCAATTTCTGACTCTGGTATCCAAATAAATGATGATGAAGCACACTTCGAATTCAAAAGCTTGAGGAGATGACTTGCTTTCGGAACTGGACCGCTACCAAAGCTTGTTGGCTTGGCGCTCTGCACGTCTGGCACAACAGAGCCCCTCAAATTTCCAGTCATCAATCGCTGCCATGCCCATGTCATGTCTTAAGAAAACACAGAAAGTACGGCTGTCTACAGCCACCGACAATTTCTCCACGCGAGCGAGTGAGGGCCGGTGAATGCCGGGGCAGTTGAAGGCTCTCATAATGACGATTGATTGCGTCTTTCTTGACAAGTACATGCATATTGGACGCTTGTCGTATCCCCTTGCAGACTTATGCACCTGATCGATCCAAAACTGTCCATTTTGAGGTTCGGATCGTTGTCACCGTAGCTTCCATATGGCAGTTCGGTTTCCGGTCCTGTGCGACGATCCTTCGCTGCTCCACCCTCGGACTAGAATCGCTTCAGGACCGATGGAGATCGGCCGAGAGGGTCAACGTTAAGCTTAACCTTCTTTTGACAGGTGGTGACGAAGTATTTGCCCGAGTTGGGACGGAACATGGTTGCTCAAGAGCGAAAGCGAGGTGCAAGCAGCGGGAAATTCCATCCAACAGCATCGTTGATTCCCAATCCCGTGCTCCTTTCATTTGATTGAATCCTTGCGACTGAGCTGCAATTGGGAATGAAGCGGAGAAAACAGTCTTTTCGGTGTGTCATTTAGAGCAACCTAAACCGAGTGGCCCGCTTGACAGCCCCCTGTCTGGAATATCCCCCGGCCTTCAACTCCCGGATGAGGGAAGACTAGCCGGACCCGCCCGCCAATGGAATTGTCTCCGACGGCTGGGTTAAAGCGCCGGGGCTGCGGGCCTGAATATTCCCATCACACGGAGGTTCCCAAGATCCAGGGACCATTCCATCGGTGAACAATATGGTGACCCCGGCGGCCAGACAGACCCATATTCACCCCTTGTTTGGTGGGAATAGACTCACAAAAAGCCGCTTGTGAGATGCCGGCCCAGCCCTATAGCGCCGCTTGGCACAAACCATTGCATATTGCTGAGAGATGAGGGCTCTGAGAAGTGAGCTGCTGCCCAGGCAGGTCGGGACGAGGCCTCCTCGTGTCACCCCACCATCATGGTGTTGAGAGGACAAAATTGCATGGCCTTTAGCTTCATAGATGGCCTTTTAAGACTGGGTTCCCCCGACGCGAATCCAAATACCGTCCTTAGTCTGGTCGTTGTCTTCATTCTCTTCTGTGAATAGCTTTCCGCCGCTGTATCTGCCAGTCTTTGGTTGGCAAGACATCATGAAGGTCTCGTTCCTCTCTCTCGTCGCCGCTTTCGCGAGCGCGGCGAACGCTCAGGTCCAGGGCAAGCCCTTCGGCTTCGCTGCCGGCACCACTGGTGGTGGTTCTGCCACTCCTCAGTACCCGTCCTCTCTTGCTGAGTGAGTAGGGAAGCGAATCTACTCTAGAAATTCTATATCCATGTTTCGGGGAACGATTACTAACAGCGACAAGGCTCAAGACATGGCTCACAGACAGCACGCCGCGTGTCATCATGAT